CATCATGTCCACTGTTATTTCAGTTTTTTGAAAAAATTAAAAACCTATATACACTGAAGAATGACAGAGTGGCTGGTGGATTGCAGCAATTCATTTTTCTTCATCTCTGTATTTTGACTTTGCCTCCTATGACCATGTTAGGCAACGAAAAGGAGTTTCATTGTTTAAGAAAGACTTCTTTTGTTTCTACAGAGGGACAAGAAGAATAAAAAGATTACTGGCTGTGAGAATTTACAGGTACTGAAAAAGGAGGCAGGCCTTTGCCTAAGGCTCTGTGTTTTTAAATACCAATGGTCAAGCCCAAGGTTTACCAGTTGCTTTTTGAGGTCAGGGAGCAAATAGTTGTTCTAAGGGTGCCCACGTGAATGAAGCAGGAGGCCGAGGAGCTGGGGCTCGCACTACAGGCTGGCACCCCAATGATGGATGTGGGTGGGCATCTGCGGGAATCGCCCTAGTCTCCCAAAGAGTCAATCTGTCTCCAGCCTGGGAACGTCACTTCACAGCACTGTGTAACACAGTGTGTGTATTCCGGAGGGACAGAATCTTCAGGCAAAGGATTTTTATTCAGACAGCTTAGGGCTGGAGGTTATGGCAATGCCAGGCTGACATATGGAGTCCTGGTAAATGCAACATGCTTGCTTCAGGCCTCGCAAACAGCTTCATCCTTCACCTCCTGGCTACTGACAGCCATCTCCAGGCCGTGCTTAATGACACAGGAGATGAGTATTTGTTAGAGGCTTTCCGCTGCATAGTATCAATAGACTTTCTGCAAAGCGGTGTACGGCAACACCTACTAACCATATACACCAGATCTTTCTTTTCTCGACATCCAAACAGGCTTGACTGGCACGTGAGGGAGGACACAGGGAACTCAAGTTTGGGGAGCAGATTCCCTTTTAGAAGCACTTGCCTGCGTCCATGCGTTGGGACTGACAGTCCCCGTGTCAGCCTGCGACAAGAGAGGGCCACCTTGGTTTTTGGAACACACGGTCCCAGAAATCAGTGGAATGCTGTTGTGTGTTTTTCTGTGAGGACTGGTGCTGAGATTCCGGTCCACGGTCCAAGGAGTCTGAACTGCCAGAATACTTGAATCTGGGCCAGACAGACTGACTTTCAATATGCAAAACGTAATGAAGCCAAGGTTCAACAAAGCTGTGGTCATTTCTAGCTTTTGTAGATACATAAGACATGGAGAATATTCATGGGGGTAAAGCTAGAAAAAGAGAGGACTAACACAAATCATTGCTTTTAGAATGGGTTAAAACCATACTGGTAGGTGGGAAATTAAATTTAGAGAGCTGCCCTACCCTGGAGTTGCTTCATGTCTGGCCTGTATTGAAGGAAACAGATTTCTGTAGTTAATAAAGCTACACTTCTTCATGTTACATTTGTGTTGTGACCCAAAAATGCTAGATGGGAAATTGCCTACTGATTAATTAGAATTAATAAAGGAGCCCTAATACAGAGAATGATTAGCTGCCTTGGCTCGTGGTTTCCCACCAATCATCAAACATAAAATTTTGCACCATATGATTTTTCTGCATGTAAAGAGACAACGAGATGGCTTCAAGCGTTCACAGAGGGGCCCAGACCTGAATGCAATCACATGACATCTGAACATATTTAGAAAGGTCAAGAGCTTTAGAGCCAGAAAAAAAAAAAAATCTGGATGCTAATACAAGCTCTCTTTACAGGGTTGTATTAAACAAACAACATAAGTCTGTCTGGGCCTGTTTCCTCATCTGTAAAATAGGGATGCTGCTACCATCTGGGTTGGGGCTCAAATGACATGGGAGATGAAAAGCATCTTGCCCAGCACTACGCATGCACATACTAGGTAATATATGTATATACTAGGTAGACAACAAATGTTAGGCTGCATCTTTCATTCCTGGTGGTTTCAACGGCTTTGATTACGAGGAAGGAGACAGGAAGGGAGGAAATGAACGAAGACAGGGCACAATGCTAGTTGATGGAGGAAGGTTTTAGGAGAAGTGTAGGAGATGGTGTCCCTGAGGAAGAGACTGCACAAAGACAGTGACCGTGGTGTGGAAGCTGGTAAGTTCTGCAGGCAAGGAATAAGGTTGGGAGAAAATGTAGGAAGGCATTATAGGAAGACTTAATCTTCAAGAAGAGAACAGTTGTGTAAGTTAAAAAAAAACATCAGGGGCACCTGGGTGGCTCAGTCGGTTAAACGTCTACCTTCGGCTCAAGTCATGATTTCAGGGTCCTGGGATTGAGCCCCACGTCGGGCTCTCCACTCAGCGGGGAGTCTGCTTCTCCCTCTGCCTGCAGCTCCCCCTGCTTGTGTTCTCTCACTCTCTCTCTCCCTCAAATAAATAAAATCTTAAAAAAAAACAACAACAAAACCATTAGAAAACCATTCCCTTTCATAAAAAGCAATCTGCAAAGCCCCATACTTCCCATAATATACAGTTATATTCAGTAACATTGTAGAGATGTTATGCGTATATTTAAGAAAAGAACATCTTAGTCATTATCTTTTCATGCTAAATTTTTATTTCAATGTTATGCAACTGCATAAGTATAAATATTTGTTCCATATACAACAATTATGACATCCATAGGGAATTTCTTAGAGAAAATAAGACTGCAAACACTTTATTGCACAGATCCTAACAAACTTTGAAGCTGGTAAATCTACAGCTGGGAGTACTACCGAGGAGCACATCTTACAATCACAGGAGACTGACCAAATAGAACACAGGAGAATTTCTACCAGCTGACTGGAGAGGTTTACAACAACAAACAGGTATTACATGAATGCAACCTTAAGTACTCTTTACTCGTCCAAAATGCAAAAACGTATTTGGCAAAAATGATAATACACTATACAAAATATACATAAAAATATCATTTGTAAACAAGCAGCTAGTTGTGCTTTAAAGGAAACTGGACAGTTAAAAAGCAAAGGCTATAAATCTTGAACTACGTCCCCGATAGACCTGCCGTGGTGTCTGAGTACAGAGGACTGGGTTATGACAACCGCCAAACACAGATATGAATTATAAATGTTGAGACCACTTGGGAAACCCACGTGAGTTCTTTTACAGTATTTGTTTCTTCTACAATTTCACAATGTAGTGATGGGGAAGAGCTAAAACTACACGGGAAAAAAAAAGTCCGGGGCAAGGAGGAGACTCTTTTTTTTTTTTTTTTCCATTGCCAACTCATTGTACAATGAATGACAACCAAGTAGTCAGTTAAGTTATGCCTTTGTTTTTTGGAGCAGGGTTTACAGCCTTGCTTAAATAATTTATAATCCACAGGCTGTGCTTAGAGGAACAATTTTATAGCTTGAAGATACTAAGACATCCGAGGGGGTTTGGGTGTTGAATTAGTATTTATTGGTAAATTTTTTTTCTCTTAAAAAACAAAATAAAATATCCTGCTATGGATCCCAAACATCTTATAAAGACTTATCTGTGTGTATTTTCTCTTAGTGCCTTTAGAACTTATGTCAGCAAGTGTCGTCTTACAATACAAAACAAGCCACCAGGACAACTGCAACAAAAACAAACAAAAAAACCCCCTCAGCACTAAAATGATTTGACGAATTCTACATATCCCATGGTATACAAAATTTAAATAAGGCTTAGCAAAAGTAAAAAGGACACATTCAAGCACCAAATAGCTCCACCAAGTCTTCTTGTTAAAAAAAATGCTGCTCTTTATTAATACAGTATTTTTTTTTTGCATACAAATAAAGAGATCGTGTTATGTAATGTATGGAGCTACTCGATGCGTCAGAAATGAATGTGAAACCCAGTAACTTGCTAAAAACAGCAAGCTTCGTCTACAACATAAGGCCCCAGCTATGTATTAAGATGTATCTGATGTCCTGATTATTCATTAATATATATGCTATGATGCCAAAATCTACCCTTTTCCTTCAAAAAAAGCAATTTAAAACCTCTTCCAATGCCTGATCCTTCTTACTCGATTTAAGTACGATCAGATTTGTGTGGCCAGTAATCTTCCTTTTTGTTCAAGAGCAGGGCTGGTGCAAAACTACTACAAAATGTGTGCTTCTTGGACTAGTGACTCATAGCATAAAGGCCTGAGGTTAAGAGCATGAAAAGAAGGGAAAGTAAGAGAAATAAAGTTGACGTGTGTTTACAGCCCCCGCTACAGCAAGGGTGAAGACCCCACATACACGCCCACAGACAAGGACAACTGGCCTTTCAGACAGTTGGACCCAGGATCAGAATGTCCACTGGGATGGCTGTGAAGTGAAAATGGTTCGCTCCCTTGGCTCCGGCCATTCCTAATGGAGGAAGATTCCAAATGCAGTGATTAGAGTAGTTCTTACTTTCAGATCTGGAAACATAGGTAGCCAGATACAGTACTACCAAAGTCTCTCTTGAAAAATACACACAAAAACTCACGATCTACTGTATCTAGGACTTTCTTTCACCTTTAAATCTACTTAGAATGTTTCAACTTAGCAAAATGTAGCTTCATTGAAACACTCTCTTAAAACCACAGACCAAAAAACATGTGGGTGAATGTGTATAGACGAACAGGAGAGTAGCTATACTTTTCCATACACCCAATTTTAACCGTTTGCTTCATTACTACGTTATGATAAGTGGTAAAGCAAAAATCTTAACTGGAAAAAAAAAAAGCTGTGGTAAACAATGCAATCAGCAGCAAGGTACCGACTCTACATCCCAAACCAAACACATTGCTAAGTATTTACAGAGAAAATCTTTTTCCTCAACAACCCTCAACTGTAAAGGTTTTTGTTGTTGTTGTTTGTACAAACACTATCTGGTAACAGTTTTACCGGTAACAATTGGGAAGGCAATTGGAAGAAGGTCCCCTCTGTCTTTCCGACTTTCTCTCCCTCTCCCGGGCCCCCCCCCCCCGCAGTGAGGCTCCAGGGCGGCCCCCCACAGTGCTGGTTTCGAAAGGTAGTCAAGACTCAGGTACACATTCAGGTCGGGTCTCCCCAGTCCGGCCGGGGGCCTGCCCCATTACGGGGCCTTTTTGTGAGGGCTGCTACGCACACTCTCTTTCCCCCGCCTCTGCCGGACCACAAAGTCCTTCTCAGAAGAAAGGGCGATGGGCCGCTCAGGGTTTGGAGCTGGGGACGCCTTGGTGACTTCTCTGCCCGTGATCTGCTTCCGAGTCTGAGGGGGCTGCGCCGGGGCGGGCTCTCTCCCTTTGGTTTCTCCCACGGTGGCAGTTCCTGACAGGGCCCTTTCCCGGTGGCCGGCGCCCCCCACCACACTGGGGCCGGGGTGGTGCAATTCCAGAGTGACGGTGGGGCTCCGAAAGGATGGCAAGGAGTCACTCTTGGTTATGGGGGTTCGGCCATCCCCGCCAGGCAGGGCCTTGGCGGTAGACGCGTCACTGCCACTCGCAGCGGCCTCTCGCGCCCCGGGTCTGGCTTCGGGAAAGCTGGAGGAGTGGCTCAGAGGCTTCTCCGGGAGGGCAGCGGGTCGCAGAGAGCTCTGCCCGGTGGCCGAGGGTGACCGGCTCATGCCACCACCGGGCTTGCCTGCCTCAGTCGGAGGCTTCTGGGGACTCAGCCCTCTCCCCTTGGCCTCCGGCAAGCCCTTCCCCACGGCAGCGGCCGGCCTCTCCGTGCCCTTGGGCCTGGCCTCGCCGGGCGCCAGGGGAAGGCTGGCCTCGGGCTTCCCGCTGTCTGCTGCGACACAAAGTGCTTCGGTGCATTTCCTGCCCTCAGACCTCCTGTCGGCGGTGGCCGCGGCCTGCGAACTTCCACTCTTGTCTGTCGGTCTGCACAGAGGTGGGCAATCTTTCACAGTGGATGGTTTGGGGTGCTTTGGAGACGGGTTTTGCTTTTCACTGGCAGTGGCGGGTTGCCGGTCTACCCACGCCTCAGCTCCGGGGTGGCCTTGCCAGGGCGGCCGCGCGGGCTTCTCCAGCACCTCCGGGGGACGCCCGCCACTGGCGGGTTTCAGCTTGGGGTCGGCAAGACCCCCTTCGCTGTGCAGTGGAGCTGAGGGTCCACCTCCCCCCTGGCTCATCGCATCAGTGGCTGTGTTCTGGGAGCCTGGCAGGGCGGGGAGCGCATCCAACACACCCTGGCTGCCGCCCTTCCCCTCTCGGCCCGGGCCCCCAGGGGGCTGAGCCCCAGGCTCTTTGCCCGCGGCAGGCCCACCGCCCGGCTTCTGGGAGGAGGGGGCCCTGTCCGGGTGCTTAGACTGCGGAGGGCTCGGGTCAGGGCCAGGCCTGGGCTTGTGGCCGCCGCTTTCACTGTGCGCTGCGGTCGGCTTGGGGGCGCCATGGAGGCCCGGGCCGGGCTCTGCAGCACCGGGCCTGCCCCCCGGCTCCCTGCCGGAGGAGTGGCTCGGCCGAGCAGCCAGGCCCGGCAGTTCTTTGGTGACTGGGGCGGGCTGGGAGCTACTGCCCACGTGCTTCTGTAGAAGCTCTTCTTTCCTCTCCGGCTCCTGGGAACTGTCTTTCTGCCACGCTGGGCAACCAGAGAGCTGGTATCCTTTCCCCTTCTCAGTGCCGGGGGGCTGCAGGGACCTGCGGGCAGGAGGGGCTTCGGGCGGGGGTTCTGTACCACCTCTTCCTCTGCCCGGCTCCCTCTCGGAAGGAGTCCCTGCGGACGGCGAAGAAGAAGAGTCCTCCCTCGCCAGCGGCCTCACCTCAACCCGGCCGTCTCTGTGGCTTGTTTTCCCACAGGGGCCCCATGCTTTCTCCGTGGGGGTGGGGTGGGGCTGTGTGTAGCCGTCGGGGCGGGGCCTTCCCCCAGAGGGGGCGTTTCTGGAACCGTCACTGGTTTTAGCAGCTCCTGGAGGACACACCTCCACGGAGGGGTCTCTGCGGGAGTCAGGCCCCGTAGCCGACCGCTGGCCTCTGGCTGCGGAAGGGCCCCTTTCAGACGATTCCCTCCCGCTCAGCTTCTCCCTCGAGGGGGCGCCTTCGGGTGGCAGCAGGCTGCGTGACCTGGACGGGTCGGCACTGTGGGGGTTTGGCCCCAGGTAGGGGAGGAGTTTAGTGTCGGGGTTGTGGTCTTGGTGTTTGCTGGGGCCCCCCTCTCTCTGCTGGGGATCGCTTTCCATGGCTGTCATGGGGCTCCGGGCAGCATGGGAAGCTTTCCTGTCCCGCTTTAGCTCCGGCTCAGGCAAGGGAGCTGCTGGTGAATTCTGGAGACCCCGGCTGCAGGGCGGGAACCGGGACTCCAGCAGGTAGGACTTACTCATCCTGAAGCCGGCAGGCGAAGGCTCCCTCTGACCCGCCGTGTCACCCTTCATGCCCCCGCTGCTGGGGAGAGCCAGTGGCATAGAGGGCCCCACCTCACTGGCGGGGCTGGGGCTCTGTGCGGGCTCCGGGGAAGGCAGCTCGGTCTTGGAGGCCTGAGGTCCAGACAGGAGAGCAATATCCAAAGTGCCCTCAATTGGCTTCAGGCAGGACACAGACCTACCTTCCAGTTTATACTCAGAGGGGCTTTTGCGGACAGGTGACTCGGGAGCAACCAAGCCCGGCTTCTCCACTCCACCATCCACCCGGCCGGCTAGGGCCTTGAGAGGGACAAAAGAAACAGCACTGATCTGTGCGGGGTGGGCACTGCTGCTGAACGCTCGGCTCTCAGAGGCCGGCAGGGCCTCCTGCTGTGCACCCATTGCCCGCACTGGGTTCCCGGGCAGGCTCTCGTGGACACTAGAGGTCATCTTGGGCTTGAGCACAGGGCACAGGCTGTTGTCTTTGTCTTCAAGTGACATTTTCTTTCGGAGGTAATCGATGTTGGCCAGTTTGCTGTCTAATTTCTCACATCGGAGACACTCCTTGGCCTGGGGGGCCTTCTCCAGGTTGTCCCCCTTTGCGGAGCTGCACCTGTCCGTGGAGTGACAGAGAGTGTCCTGGAGGGTGCCGGGAGCAGAGGTGCGCTTGAAGTCACAGATGCCCTGGCTGTGCTCCCCAGGTGCCAGGACTTGGCCCGTCGCTGCCCCTTCCGAGGTCGCCCCCTCGCTGGCCCGAACGCTCGCCTGCTTGTGAAGAGCCCCTTTCAGGAGACTGCCCAGGGACTGGGTCTCCTGCAAGGCCACTTTGTTTTCAAAATGATTTGACCTTTCTAAAGCCTTTGGGTATATCTTCTTCTCTCTTTCTTCTAGCCTAAAAGTTGAGAGGTTCTCTAAATCACTACCAAGTCCATGGGATTTCTGGTGGGGTTCCTGTTTCTCTGGGAAGCCCTCTGGTTTCTTCACTACCACCTTGGCCTTCAGCTTCTCTCGGTCCAGCTCGTCCACAGACTCCTGTCTCCCCAGCTTCCGGGAGACAGGGCGCTTCAGGCAGCCTTGCTCCACAGGCCTGGCGCGGCTGAGTGAAGGCGCCTCACACACGCTCTCCTCCAGGCTCTGCAAGGTCACTTCCCGCTGAGGCTGCTCCTGCTGCGCTTCCTCCTGGGTCACCTCCAGGCTGTGCTTGCGGGAACACAGGTGCTTTTTGTCACTTCCATAGGAGGGGGAGAGCTTCTCCTCTGACTGCACGCGCTTGAGCAGCGGGGACCTCGGGGGCTCTGCGCTCTTGGGCCTCACAATATGTCTGACGATGGTGGGAGGGGAGTGCATTTTGCTGGGAAAGGCCTGAGTGATCTTGGAATTGCCAAGTGAATGTCCCAACAGAGGGGATGGTGACCGCTGGGGGGAGGTGGGCTGTGGCGTTGGAGAGGGGGTCCGGGCCAGTGGGGAGAGGGGGATGCTGCCAGCCGACTTCCGCCTTCCGGACCGGTAGCGCTGTCCGCTGAGTTTGGGGGCCAGACCATGGAGGGTGCTGGGCCGGATGTGTCCTGACCCCGCTGGGGAATTGGGGGCGCTAGAGCTTGGGGAGCTGCTCTGAGAGGAATTAGTACCTGTGGGTAGAAAACAGCCGTGAGCAGTGGACTCCTTCCCTTTTCTTTCCGTGCTTCCAACCCAAACTCTTTTAGATCAGGTCCGATAAAGGTCAGCAAATCGTCTTAGTATTTAACTCTAATGAATACACGCTTTTCAGGTAAATCTTCCCCACATCAGGGTTCAACCCACTACTTCCTGCCTTAATTAGGTCTAAACAGCCACATCTCATGACTGCCCTATAAATCCTGTTTGTTGCCATCTACAACCTCAACCATCTTTCATTAAGTGGAATAAGCCTCCTGTCCCTCAGGAGCTCAGATGGTGATTCTGACCTCCTCTCAACTCTCCCTTGCTGTGTGGGCCAGGAGACTCACTCACCGGATGGGAAGTCGGGGGTGGAGCGATAGCTGGGCGTGGGGGACCGGGGAGACAAGCTGTGAGTGGGGGAACCCGGGAGGCTCTCCCCTGATGATAGGGACCGGTTCAAGCAGGAGAAGCTTCGGCTGGTGTGGAGCAAAGGAGAAGGCTGCTTGGCTAGTTTTTTGAAAAGGGATCTTCTCCTGGAGTGAAAACAAGAGAAAACTGATTAGATTCTACATCTGGGGCCACCCCGTCTCCCCACAATACCCGTGTAGTCAGTTCACACCTCTGGGCGAGGGATAGCGGTCTGGTGGCAGATCCTACACTAAGGCGCAGGTACCCACTTTCAAATTAAAAACCTTCTTATGACTTAGAAAGGAAGAGTCTTTGAAAGTATACAATGGAAGCTCTCTCAATTCCAAATACTTTAGGAAGCGCTGAGAAAGTAGAAAAAATATAAAATACATGAAATAAATATTCATTTATTCTATTTGTCAGGTTTATGAGGAGGGCATTCTTTACCTGAAAGCTTCTAAGCATTTACCCTCAGACAAAATGATACAATTAAGAGATAATACAAAGTAAATCTCGGGAAGAAACACCATTATTTTGGATATAGAATTCTTTAATGGTGATACGCTGGGCAGAGGCTTTATCTAGGAGGGGCTGTTTGCTGTGCTTATTCCACTGTGGGCTCTTGAAAATTCCTAATGACAATGTAGGCTGTACATTAACATAGAAAAAGCGAGAAAGGTGAACTGAAGCTTATCGTATCAGCAGGGCACCAGACACTATGCTGCAGCAGAAGCAAATGTGTATTTAGTGCTCAACAAGCATATCTTAAAGCAAAAAAAAAAAAAAAAAAGCTTCACACTGCTTAGAAGTGCAAGTGGCTGTAGAAGGTTCTTTTACCTCTGCCATCATGCAAGCCTCACTCACCCCCAGTGAGCTTAAGCAAAAGTTTAAACACTGCTGCCCCTTGGAAATAGTGCTCTGTACGACTTAGAACACAATCCAAATATAAAGCACACATTAAAAAATATATAAATCACTTATTTATCTAATAAAGCACACATCTCAGAACTCGTGTTTAATTTTAATCAAAGCAATACATGTACTTGGGTTAAACAATTACATCATTTTATACAGTTCATAATGAAAAATAGCAACTCTGCAACTCTGCCCTTGGCCCAGTCGCCTGAGAAACCACTTTCTACTCCTTTAACTGTTTCTTCTCCTATTTGTCTGCATATTGCTAAGTAATCTCTTTATGCTATGTTTTCGTTTTTCAGTTTTAGACACTATCTGTTGATTTCCTAGCACAGAAGATGAGGATGAAGCTCTTACACAAGCCCCCTTCCACCTTCTGACCAAATACACTTCCCTTTTTCTATTCCTCCCTCTAGAGCTAAACCAAAACTTTCAGTTAAAGAAAAGGGTGGCCTTTTCCCCCTCTATTTTATATTATAAATATTGTTCACAGCTGGGCTATGCAAAGCATGATTCCATTTCCTTTCTTGTATGCTTTTGTCTTTCCTGGAGTTAATACGCATTCTTTTTTTATTTACTTATGTTCCCACATTTCTATTGCTAAAAATCCTCTTAATACAATCAGACACATTAGATCCAAGCAGGCAAAGGAGAGATGCTTCTGTGGCGTCATGTGGGGAGCCCATCCAGACAGTTGTCTGGCAAGAAATGTCCCCACTGCAAACACATACACGCATTTTGCCAGCGTGTGCAGAGAGCACAAAAAGACTCACAGTGCCTCCCCGATTGCAAATGTGTAACCCAGTTAGATCTTCAGTCAGTAAAACAAAACTCCTTTATTTTTAGGCTTATTTGGATGCTTTAAAGATACAGTTATTTTCAAATATCTGCCATTTAAAAAATATCAATTGTATGTTTTTAGATAATGTAAAGGACATTATTAAATGTAGATTTAATGCTAAAAACTGCCTGAAGATCCAGTGCCTTAAATCCAACTCACTTGAAATGAAGTCTAGACGCTTAAGAAACAGCAAAGGGCTTTTCATGGTACTCGCACAGGAAAAAAAAAGCAATCTGAATTTTTCTATGACATAACTATGTAAATCTTTTCATTGTGAAAAATGATGCTATTATGAATGTGAACTTTAATGTATAAATATTTGAATCACAGCATGAAATGTCTCACAGAGCAATGGATCTTTCTCACATATAAGTGTTTAAATTAAGGGTAACTTTCCTCTGACATGGGTATATACCAAACTTGCAAAAATACTGCTGTAACTAACCTTTCTAGACTTTCTTTCTTCTTAGATTTCTTGCTCCGCCTCACCATCCGGCTCTTATAGCTGTTTCTCCTCGCTGGTCCCGTTTTGATTGATGTGTTTTCAAATGGGGTAGTAGTGATTGACACCTTATTTCCACTCTATAAAAAAAGTGGGGTGGTATTAAAGAGAAATTCTGGGAGGAAATAAGATCAGAACTGGGCTAGGAGATTCAAAGACAAAGATACCTAAAGACATATGTACAAAAGCCTTCCATTTCTACGTAACCTTTTAAGCAGTGACATCCTGACAGAATACAAAGGGTGGAGGGCAAAATGACAGGTTGCTTTAAGAGGGCAGGCTCTGGACTCCACAGAGGTGAGTTCAAATCCAAGTCCAGTGACCGCAGGAGGTTGCTTCTCCTCTCTACCTCAAACACCTGCACTATCTAACAGCGGAATCTCACGGGGGCTCATGTGAGGATTTTATGAGATGGAGTTAGTAAAGGCTCCAGCACCGAGTGTGACACGTGGAAAGCACTCTATAAATAAGAGTTATCTTCATCCATATGTATTAAGTATAAATGTGCCCAGGGGCTGTCTGTTCTTGGTTGATTTCTTTTTCTTTTTTCTTTTTGTGTTTTTCCTTTGACCTAGAAATCACAGACTAGCAAAACTGAATGAGACTTTTATTTTTAATTATTTTAAAAGATTCCTTTTCTGTCACCATAAAACTTGTCAGCTTGCAGAACTGGAAAGTTGATGTCAGTGAGTATAAAACAGCCTCTCTTTAACCAGGTCACGCATGGTGAGGTAACTCCTGGTGGCTTTCTGAGCCTTTCACTCAGTGCTGGGACAGGGCTTGCTGGGCAGGCCCTGAGGGTAGAGAAGAGAGTGGAGTCAGAAGCCGGGCCGAGGGGTGCCCAGGGCAAATGGTAGGACTGATCCCCTTCACTCCTGCATCAATGACCTCTTCTTGAATTTCTTAATAACGGGGGGAGAAACATGTCCTTTCAAAATCACAGATGGCCCTGATTACTTCGAAAAGACAAGAAGTATAAGGAGAAGGGTCTTTTAAAAGGCCTAAGCCTGGAAAACACCTAGCAAGTCAGCTCTAAGTGGTACTAAGTGGTGGGGGAGTTAAGTATGGTGAGGGCGGGGGACCAAACCAATGAGGATTGACTGCTTTCATGTTAACATCTACTCCCCTGTTCCAGTTTGGGAGATAATACATGACATCATAAGAAGTAATTGTAAAGTGTAAGTAAAAATAAAAATCACTGAGAAACCTATCACTCAGCCAACACTGATAATATTTCAGTATATTTCTTGATCTTTTTTCAGGCATGTATAAATTATGCACATATATGGACATACTTCATAAATAATTTTAATCTTAGTTAATCTAATATTTAGCTTTATGTTGTTTTTCCATTTCACATTATATAACTTGAAAAACCTTCCCTGCATCATTGAATGTTCATTAAGAACATAATTTTTATTGGCTGTATAAATAATGTTCCAGGAGATGGGTGAATCAAAACTTAACTATTTCCATACTGCTACTGTTTTCTACTTTTCAGTTCTTTTACGAGTCATAAGTACCCTTATCTATAAATCACTGTCCTAATCTCTGTCATTTTCCCTAGATTACATAATTAGAGTCAATGCAGTCAATCAAAGGCTCTTTCCAAACTTTTTATAGACTCTTGGTCCATACTAATACACTATTTTCCAGAAAGTTTATGTCAATATGTATTTTTGTGGGCAGCACATAAATTTTTTTTTATTTTTTTTAAAGATTTTATTTATTTATTTGACAGAGAGAGACACAGTGAGAGAGGGAACACAAGCAGGGGGAGTAGGAGAGGGAAAAGCAGGCTTCCCACAGAGCAGGGAGCCCGATGTGGGGCTCGATCCCAGGACCCTGGGATCATGACCTGAGCCGAAGGCAGATGCTTAACGACTGAGCCACCCAGGCGCCCAGCACATACATTTTTTTTAAGATTTGAGAGATAGAGAGATTGAGAGAGAGAGAGAGAGAGAGCAAGGGGAGGGGCAGAGGGAGAGGGACAGAGAATCCTAAGCAGACTCCATGCTGAGCTTGGAAGTCAACACAAGGGTTGATCTCAGGACTCCATGACCTGAGCCAAAAGCAAGAGTCAGATGCTTAACTGACTGAGCGACCCAGGTGCCCCCATACATACCTTTCTTACCACAGGTTTGTCAGAACTGAATATTAACATTAAACAAATGACCAATTTTATACAAATAAGCTCTATCAAGTTTTAATCTCCATTCTTTGACGGTGTCTCGTTTATTTTGGTCATTTCTATCTCTTCAGGAGATGGTCTGTCCGTGTCTTATATCCACTTTAGAAACAGCAAGTCTTAGTATTTTGACTGATTTTTAGAGTTTTTTGTATATTTAAGACATGAATTCCCACACCTAATGTCCTAATTGTAAAAAAATATTCTAGGGAAATAGGATTCGAACTGAAACAAAAGGAAAAAAAATCATTCTGAAAGAATAAACTGTATGTTCTACATGCAAATGCCAAAACTTTAAGAATAAACCCTCATCTGATGGTAAAGACTGACACTCTATTTCTTGTTTGAACAGAACATTCAGCTTCTAAGTATGAAAGGCCTACCATTGGAAGTTGTTTGGAATGGGATCTTCTCTTCACAAATTGAGGGAGGTCATGCTAAAATGTGAGTTTGTCCTGCATGCCTTAGGTGAATGAAAAGAGCAACCAAGATGGATGGAGTTCATCTTTCATTGTGGTTCTTTCAGCCTTTTTCCATATTCATACATAGATGGGGCACAGATAGCCTTTGTGACCACTGAGGCTGTCCGAGTATGTGAGTCACTGAACCTGAGTCCAATTCTACCCTTTCTAGCATAATTCACCACTGGCCTTCCTATCTTTATAAGTGGTTAACAATGTCACACAGGCTTTTTTAAAGTGTATTTTGAGCATTAAAGTGTTTTTCACATATATTCCCTTATTTTATTTTCACCACCACGTCAGGAGGGCTATTTTATTTTTTTACAACCTGGTGAAGTGGGAAAGAATTGTTATCCTTGCATGAAAGATGCAGAAAACAGATTCAGGGACACTGGGTTTTCTTCTTCCCAAGGTCCCAGAGCCCAGTGGAAGAGCCCACTCCTGGCCCTCTGCCCCCATCTCCTGTGCCCACTCGTCATGGGCACGGCACGCTCTGGTCCTCCACCTCTCTTGCTCCCAGCAGAGTACATGGCTTATACTTAACGGGTGGTGGCGAGGGAACCAGGCATTGGGTTAATATAGGGAATGATCAACGTATCAGACTGTCAAGAAGAAAACGAAGAGATATAAAAATAGCATAAACATTTTAAGAAATAAAAATAAACGATGAACAATCTCATCAGAAAACAGTTATGACCAGGGTTTTTAAATCAGAGCACACCACTGAGCTCTGTACAAATACTCCCTTCCCTTATAAAAACCAAACCCGGTTTTATCTTTCTTGTTTCTATATATGGCTGTTCCAGAGGACAGTTTGCTTGACTTAATGTAAATGTACAGAGATAACTTCCCTAAGGAGGAACTACAGACACAGAAGATACAGAGTGCAAATATTTCACCGGGAGCATTAATGACAACGAAAGTGGTATATGAATGGAAAAATAACTTTTTCGACAATAGGGTAGGAATCATAAAGCCTGCCACCTGGTGGATTCATTGGCTACATGGAGGGCTATCTGAGCTCAGTGCAGTTTGTCTTACTTGGTCAGTTCATCCTCAATAAATTTTCTGAAGTACGAGTGAACTCTTCTAAGAGAAATTCTATGGTACTCGTTTAGAAACAACAAGAAATGGGGCCAGCAGATTGCTAAATGTTCAGTTTGTTCACTTTTACGATAAACCATTTCTATCATTGTGCATGGCGGGAGGGAAATTACTTTAAGCTGGCTGAACTCAATACAATAGGAGGCTAACCAATCTCTTCCTCTCAATCTGGCTCCGTGTTAGCTTATGGGTGGCCTTGGACACCCTATTGGGGTAGACTATTTGTACATTCCTTTCTCTGCATCACGCACATGGGGAATGCTGCACGTTCTGTAGGCCTATGTCTTTGCTCTTGTTCACATCCTCCGCAATCCAGCCTCAACCATCTTGCACACTCCATCCCATATACAAACCCAGGCTCCTGCCACACTAGTTTACTCATGTACCTCAAGCACTTTGAGCTTTTTTGTCCTTCTGTGTGCACACACCCTCTATGTTCTGCTGAGACCATCCCACACTCCCTTCACATACACTAACTCTCCACCCATAACCCCCAACTCTTCCTCCTTGTCTACCCTAGTTTAAGCTCCCTCTCCTTTGAACTTTGGGCCATATTTACAGTCTGTTCCTTTAACTACAGACTGGTATTGCCACCGTTTTTCCATGTGGCAATCAGAGAACTTCAGGTATAGGGCACTATGGTTGGATTAATGCGAGGCACGGGCTCCGATACTACACAGCAGGGTGCAAATCCTTTTCTGCTCCTTCTTAGCAGATAACCTCGGGCTGCTCTGCTAACTTTCTCCTGCTTTAATTTCTTCATCTGTAAAGTGGGGATACACTGTTATTTATAGCACCTACCTCCTAGGGTGTAAGGATTATAAGAGCTCGTCTACATAAAGCACTCCCTATTACCTATTATTCTTGTGTGTCCTCCGTTGTATGACCTTTCAGGACCTAACACAATGCTGTGCACATTTTCAGGGCTCAAAGAATTATGTAAGGATGGTAATAATGATCCTATTTGATGGCCTTCATTCTAGTATCTAAAAGTTCCCCAGAGTTCATAGAAAGGAAATTTTTGAAGCACGGGCTGATGAAGAACATACCTCTCTTATGTACTGGGCATTTAAACTAATGCTATCCTGAAAAAGCAACCTGACTGAATTGAGAGTTTCCCAGATTAGAGAGGTAAAGCCGGGCAGGTTATTACGTGCATCAATATGGACTTCACCCACCACGGCAGTAGGTGGAGAAAGATTTTATTGCTTTTGCGAAGTTCTCTAAGAAAGCGACCTGAAAGCCAAATGGAGGTGGTTAACTCCTTGTGGCAGGGGAGGGGGAGGCAAAGGTGAAGGAGCACACTTTAAGGGAGTCCCAGAGCCAATGGGGAATTGAACGGGAGAAGCAAAGATTCTATAATTCCATGGATCTAGGATGTGAAGTGACTGCAGACGTAAGTTAGTGCCTCCCCAGCAGGTTTGCCTGAAAGTTGTAAGAGTAAATGAGACCAAAGGTTGAAGGTATTAAATGTGCAAAATGCTTCCTACGTTCACATTCCAAAAGATAAGTGAATACTGCACAAGCATTTCTAAACAGACACGTAGCAGCCTCCACCTTTTCCTAAGGGTGCCACGACATTTCATGAAGTAGTTTGCAAGTATAAAACATCAAGGAAACAGCATCCAAGAACACCAAAACAGAGCTACCACCCTGGTGTTCCACGAGCTATGGCATGAGGGAGCCCAGTGCGGATGCTCCTCACTTTACACCTCGTCCCAGAATCGCTGTTCAAATTTGGAAGAAAGCTACATGATTACACAGTTCACTGGGAAGACAATTAAATCCCTTGTACCCTTTTTGTTTCATTACATTGGTTGCTCCTCTCCGGTGCTTCCTTCATGAACCAGAGGCAGGATCCTCTGTTGGCTCTGTGACGGAGATGCCACGGCTCTCCAATACCCGAAGTGTGCGTTTACACAATTTCAGAGACACGCTGACTAGATGCAGGAACGAAGGTGCTCCGTAACCAGACGAGGACAAATGTTATAAATGGGATTGGATTCTGCCAAGAGGCCTTGCCAGAGACTTTCAGGAGAAATATATATTCAAATTTCACAGAAGCAGGTTTTAAAATCTTGAATCATATCAAATATAAAACAAATTATGAAAATCATCAAATGTCTCAGCCAAGGAAACAAATGGGTATTTTCTAAGGATATATATATATATTTCAGTTTATTATTTCTTGTGATTTTATGTGCAGACACACGAAATGATACGAAGATAGGCTGTGGCAGGAGCTATACCACACATAACAAAACACTGTTATAAAGAAGGCAGAAAGCCGAACTGTGTTACCATTTAAAATCCCTTTGACCCTCTTTTAAATGCTAATGCCAAGATTTGCAAAAGCTCTAGCAGGATGAATAACAACTAAGAGAACCTCACCTGTAAAACACAGACTTATTATCTAAAACAAAGGGTGAGCTCCTAGAAAAGAGCAAGGAGCATTTTAGAGATAATAACACCTCTGTCTGCCTACCTCTGCAGTGAAAAGGTTTAGATACCGGATATATAGACAAGGGGTGGGGAGGAGGGAAACCCAAAACAACTTCCCTGGACTCTTCTTCAGAGGGTCGATCTGTGAGTTAGCAATGGGGCAGGCCTGGACCACAGGAGCAGGTACCGTGAGAGAAGCTGCTTGTCAGACTCGGGAGTTACTTTACATCCCTTCTAGAATTTTGCCCTGGAGAGCCCGAAGTCATTTCAGGTGACTTTCACAGAGCCAAAGGATCTCCGAGTCAGCAACCCTGTTGTGCCTCCTCCCATTTCTTGGACACTTACTAGGAGTGAGTTGTTGCGTACCAGGTGGGCAAAGAATATTATCAGGGATAGATGGGGAACGAAACTAAAAAACTCAGGTCTTATTCACCATGTCCTCTGTTTCTGTTCGGTAGCCACACTGCAAAGCGTAGCCTAACGGCAGCCATTTAATGTTGAACAGCGAAGTGAATGGCGTATATATCAAGACGCGAGTCAAAACATAACAAAAGTAGTAGTGTGGTATTTGGCTCCTCCCATGGTAACTCTTGGATAGCAGGCAAAAGAGAACCCCACTGTTCACCTCAATACCACAGTTATTGGGTACCCATCTATATCCCAGGTGTTGGGTAAATGCTGGGATTATGCAGAAAGCTTTAATAGTTAATATCTGCCCTGCAGGGCTCTGTCCGATTTGCTATGTGTTCAGCACGACCTTAGGCTGATTTCCAATGCTAACTATGGCACTGTGGTGTTCTCTCAATTGAGTCCCATCCCTCCAGTGATCGATACATGCATTTGTGAGAAAGGTGGCTAGTGTTAGGGCAACAACCTGGTGGGTATGAATGACAGCAACGTCAGGCCCCAACCCCTCAGACTTCAGTTTTGAGCCCAAGACCAAAATTTCATTAATAATGTGAATTAATCGATGGCAGTAACTTTCCTACAGTCTGCTACTTCACAATGGACCTTTGAATATGCATGCTATTAACTACTCTCAAAACGTAGGCCAGACCCTTAATTTTTTGAAGAATATACTCCTGTTAGCTGCTGGAATGACAGAAAATGAGAAAAGTCATTAAATTGCACTTATTTTTGGAAGGCTTAGCACACCCACGTCTTTGTAGTGCCTTCTAGATTTCTAATTTTCTTTCATGTTTCAATTCAATGAAATTTTTCTATGATGTCTCTCCCCACTCATAGAATATTCTCTCCGAAAGTATGACATTCCTCCCTCTGCTACAGCCCTAAGTTGAACTTTATCTGCTTCCATACATCTCCTACATCTCCCATACTTCTCAAGGGCAAGGACTATACCTTAATTCCTGTGTTATCAACATCTACTACGGCACCGGACTCAGAGCAAGTGTTCTGAAAACAGTCTAAATGCACATTATTTAAAACTATGGCTCACACCTCTCGTAGAGAAGTCCCTTACAGCCCCTCTGGTGCTCAAAAAGCAAGAGGTCATCCATCCATAAATCTGTTGCTTTGTAAAATAATCCTCCAATTAGAGACTGTATTTCTGATTACAGACTTCTTTTTCTGAACAGATTTAAAATCAAACACAACTTCATCTTTGTTTTACAAGATCCATATTTGGAGCTCTAACTTTATATTCTACAGTCAGCAGGTGACACAGCAAGTAACTCAACAGAAATGAGAGGATCAGTGTAGATTTTCTCTCTCCACTCACGTTCATGCTTCTTGTGGTCTTAACTCTATAGGTTTTATTCAGCTTACATTCAAAACAGAAAATGATTTATGTTCAAATTCATTTGTGTGAGAGGGGAAAGGCCTAATGATTGCTAGCACCCCTTCCCCCATTACTACTTATTTCTTTCATTTATGGTATATGTGTATATTTTCACAATTCTTTTTGTAAAAGATTTATTTGAGAGAGAGTAAGCGAGCGTTAGGGGGGCGGGGGGGAGACAGAGAGGGAGAGAGAAAATCTCAAGCAGACTCACCGCTGAGAGCAAAGCCAGATGTGGGGCTCGAGCTCATGACCCTGAGATCACGACCTGAGCTGAAACCAAGTGTGGGAAGCTTAACCGACTGAGCCACCCAGGTACCCCTGTATTCACAATTCCATCTTTCAAAGGAAATCCAACTGTCAGACTGAACCTTCATATCTGACCTCACAGAGTAATACCACTTCATCTTCCATTGCACTAGAATAAAATTTACTTAATGTCCCTGAAGAAAATCATCCTTAGGATTGGTGATTTCCAAACAGATTTTGCTATGTGGGGTTCACAAAATGAAAAACTCTCGTTACCTGTGATTTAGAATAAAAAGTTAAATTAGGAAGTGATTGGGCAGATATAAGAACTTGGTTTTCACAATATAAATAACCAGAGAATTCACATTCTCTTCTCCTTTATATTAAACCTTAGACTACTGAATACCTTTCTCAGTGATAAGACTGAGTGTGTATGGGTGTACCATAGAGAAGAACTGTAGAACTTAAGAATTCTTGGTACCAGTTGTTTCTGATGACCTGCTTTATCTGTACGGCATGGACATAAAAAGATAATACCTTTAGCAAGAGCTCTATAACTTCCGTGTGGACAAGTCCATGCACCGGTTCTCCATTGATGTGTGTGATCAGATCCCCAGCCTTCAGTCCTGCCTGGCATGCTGGACTTCCTTCTTCTACATTCTAAAGTCCAAGAAGAGAGTATATATTCATAAGCCAACAAATGGCAACCCTAACAACTGCTGTTTCTTCTGGGAGACTATTCTGAGTTAATCAGCAAATGATCCTAAGCTCCTAAGAGGAAATCAAGAAGGCATGGTTATTATTCCTTTTCTGTCATCATCCTAAAATAGGACCATTCCTTATAAAATTTCAAGTGGGTGAAGAAGGTAGTTTTTGTTTTGTTTTTAAAAGAAGACCAGGAAAAAATTACATAAAAAGAAAAAGAAAAAAACGAAAAAGAAGGGTGGCAAGAGGACTTTCTTTGACTATTTCCACCAGCTTGCTATGCAGACTGGACAATCGAACATGAAAACTGGGCAGAATTATGAGAAATTACCAGTTTTCGCTAAATTCAATGCCACCCCCTAAAGGGAAAGGGCATGAAACAGGTCCCAAATACCAGCTTAACAGAAAAACTGCTTGTAAATAGGCCTCAGCCAGCTTATTCATTCTCTAGGATGCGTGGGAGTGAAAACTAACAAGGATGAGAAGCTGCTGCCCTTACCCAAACAATATGGTGCACCGTATAGATGTCACTGTCTCCCACATACACCCGGATGGCTCGGATGGTAAAACCATAGTTCTTCCCGGAACTGTGGATCACGATGGGCTGATGTGGACTGGCGGAAGCTGCTGAAGAATCTCGGCTGGGAGAGGAATCTCGTGAAGAAGAAGGGTCTGAGGACAGGGAATGGGGGGACATTGGACTTCCCAGTGGAGAAACAGCAAACATATCTGCAACACAGAAGCCAGTCATCAAAGCTGATCCTGACCACACAAACATCCATGCCGCCAGCCCACACCGCATTAGCCCTGCCGTGATTGGGAGCTTGGCTACCAAACAAATCCATTCATGTCTAATAAAGAAATAATATAAAAATATTTATATTGCTAATTAGCATGGCTTTCCAAACAGAGCCTATTAAGAAAACTTCAAAAGAGTATTTTAACTCGTTTTTCAGTTAATTCTCTGAAGTTATAATTTCTTAATTCCCTACACTAATTAAAATACACACAAAACCTAGCTCCTACCTGGCTGTGATAGTTCTAGTTAGTACGTTTTGTTTTAATTAAAGAAACAAATCAAAGATGCACAAATTTCAAGTAAGCCTTTACACAGAGAAGACTGTGTGGCCTATAGTAAGAGATCCTCAGTCTCCAAATCTTGCCCTCAACAACTTGAACATGGTCATTCTCCAACATCCATGGTCAGGAAAGCAATTTGTCAATGCCCCAGTTGCTTTTTACAGCATTACTGAACTAGTACTCAGTAAGTGATTTTGATCAAGCAACAGTGAAAGGTCAATTTCTCTATGAATCACTCCTCATTTCTCTGATTATAACTGACTGTCTTCATATGTTCCCTATAATTCTAACGATTCTGAGACGATAGTACAGGTGAAATAGAGAAATTTTAAGAAAAACTTAGTTCACCTTCCACAACACCAATTCTACTCTGTTTTTCTTGTTTTATAAGCAGACACACTTCTAATTTACTGTTGCTGTCCCTGTTGCATCTGTGTGAATCTAAACAGAGCTTAACTGGTCACGTGAAACTGTGTGTGTGTTTGACAAGAAGAACAATCCACAGAGGATGCTGAGGTTGAAGGGTGAGCCCCATCGGAGCCACGCCACTAAGCCCCGGGGCTATTGAAGACTCAGCAGGTGCACAGAGTACACTCTGGCCACAGTGAGCTGAAAGTATCCACACTACCACTTCTTCCCAGTCTTAGGTCTGGCCAAAGTAGAACAAAGCTAAGTGTCTCACTAGCCACGCCCCTTCACTTTGTGACTGCACGTGGCATCTTGGTACTCCTTTGCTGGCTATCTCTTATCTAAACGTCAAAAGACCAAGTGAGGAGACACACACCGGTGGGCAGCAAACTTCTAACCATGCAAGCAGGAACGGGACAGAGTGGACACACGCGCACACACACACACACACATCGAAACTGCTGGAAAGCCAAGTCCCCGATCCTTTCTCTCATGACGGTTTCCCTTATTGCCCCAAATTGAACAACTGCCCTACTTGACCAAGAGGTGGGCTTTCTTACCAGCTTTTGAAAGCGGACTTACCTTCCCAACTGCAGCTGCCTTGGGGCCACTGCCTTTGGGTCATGAACCGTCATTCAAACTAGGGAGACAGGTGTTTGTTTTATGGTACTAAAGAGGATGTCTCCCAGCAAAGAGTATGCTAGAGTGAGCAGTACCCCCAACGTGAGCATTTGTTTCTGTCAAATTTCTTTCTGCACAAACAGGAAATTTTGAAAATATCAACACTTCCTTTTAGACATGGTCTGTATTCTTCCAAATGCAAGCCATCTGCAACAGAATTCAGTTGCCACTTGGGTCCCTGGCCGCCATTTGAGTGTTCAGTCACCAACACTAGCGTGCATATTTCATCTTTTCCAGTGGAATTGCTGTGCACGTAGTGATTTGTGGAGGCAAAACCCAGTTGTGGAAAAATACTGCCAATTCCACAAAACCATAATTAAGCTCTGTCTTCCAATACAGGGAAGAAAATGGTTTGACTACCAGTAGGAGGAAGCATAGCTCAACAGACAGGGTTGGGAAAAAGTATAATTTCAGTGCTGTCTGTGACTCTCTGCTTCCCCAGAAATGAAAAACTTACATCCTCCATGTCTATTTCCTCATTAATTAGATGAGGAAAAACTATACTTAGCTTTCCTACACAGATGCTACAAACAGCTCGGTAAAGTATATAAATGATGCCCAATCTAGGGAAGAAAAATTATTCAGAGGAGGTAAATTTACCACTTCACTTGGGGAGGGGGGAGCAGAAAAGGAAAGAAAACAAATACAAGAAGGCTTTGTGGGAAGGAAGCCTGCCTCATCTCCTGATGCAGAAAGAAGCCAGAAGACATCAGCGACACATGCTGTCTGGGAGCTCCCAGGCTCCTGCAGGGAGAAGCCCCCGGGAGAGCTGTGCTGGGTGGTACCACCGTTACTGCTTCTAGGCATCCTGCATCCCCATCAGCATTCCAAACTGGGGAAGGGGGGGACACATGCACAAATCACACAATTTCATGCGAGTAGATGTCTCTCTACCTCCTGGGATCATGAGGGACAGAGCACTGGCAGAAAGGGACTTTGTGACCTTCCCCGAGATTTTCTTTTTTTCTGTGCTTTCTAATCGCTGCCGGGCCATGTGAGAAGCGGGTTCACTGGAGGGCTTTGAGGAATTATCTGTACTGTCCACACACTCGCTTCGTCCATTTATCTGATCCAAGTGCTCTGAAAAACTGCCAACTGCACAAAGAAGAAGGGATAAACACGTTCAGGGAAATCTGGGACAGGAGAGGCGGAGAGAGGGGAAGAGAGAGGGAAGGAAGAACACGCTGGGAAACGTCCTCCCCTGTGGCTCACCAGCCCTTATGGTGTCAGGCAAATGTTACAAACACATGACTGGTCGGAGAAAGGTGCCGTGGAGAAGGAGAGGAAAGGGGCATCTGTTCAGGTGTCACTCTACCTGTCCATGAGTCTGCTCATTCTCAGCCCATGACTCCCCTTACCTAGAGACTCATTCTTTCTAGAATCTCTATCTTACAACCCTTGTAGTGACAACTCCTCCCCCTCGCTTCCAACCCATGGAAGGCCATGCTATGAACCAGCGCCACCTTATCAATGCCATGACCGCCCACTGTATACTATGACCATCCTGTGCTATCAGTGATCATCCTTAGCAATGCTGTTAATGATGTGAACAAGGCTGTTTGTGGTAAGTGGACATCACCTCATTTCTTCATGTAGACTTATGCCTGTGTCACCTCCTACCATCTTCCTAGGACACACCTACACTAAGCTCACGCGTTGACAGAGGAGCGCCCGAGGTGTCACCTTTGACTTCTCATGCCATCTGCCCCCTTACACTCTCCGCTCCTTGCAAACTCACAGGATGACAAAGCCTATTACCCACTGTGTTACTCAGTGGCTCACTACATCTTCCAGGCTTTTCCTCTTGGCAGTGTGTCATTCACTCTGTCCTGAAGTTGCCGGACCAGTGGTAAGATCCTTTCCCCTCTAAGCCAGCCGTGCCTTCTTTATTTTTAACCTTAGTAACCCTTAAGAGACACTGGAGGTGTTTTTTTTTGTTTCCTTGTTTTTAGTTAGAAAATTAGGACTCCCCTCAGGAGAGGATCCCAAGAGAATGTAACCATGCAGGAAGTGACAAAAAATGGAAAATCACTGATGTGTCTGGGCAATGGCACAAAGCGTAAAAGTTTCTGAGCAGAAGTAACATGCGGAGTGCCCCCAGAGAAAAGGTGAACAGCATCCCCTCTTGGTTCTTCCTACTCTTGCTTTTGTAGACTTTCAGTTTTCTTTTTCTTTTTTTTTTTTAAATCACTGATAGTTTATCTTTGTCCCTCCAGAAAAAGCAATGCTTATCTCATTTTGACTTCTAAATGCTGTGTTACAAGCCCCCCGTGCTTTAAAAACCACCAACATGATCATCACCTTAAGCTTTGCAATCCAGGCAGAGAATCTGATACCATTACAAATGATCCTTTGAAAGACCAGCAGGCACATTTTAAAGCACAAGACACTCTTGGCCTAGGGAAGAGTTAGGCTGGATAAGACTTAACTCACATTTCTGTTCTGCTGCTGAATGTACCACTCAATTGAATGTACCACTCAAGTTTGGCCTTTGTGCACAGAGTGGGCACCTGCCCTAGAGATGGGGTCCTTGCTAAGGGCAGCTGGGACTTGGGAGAGTGCTGTGGGTGCGGGAAAAGATTCAGACTTCCATGTGACACCCACGTGACCTACAGAGGAAGACAATCCTAAGGGAAGTATCAGCAGCCTTCCGGCTCCCATCCACCTAACTCAACCTCACTCAAGTCCATCTGCTCTGTGCTCTCTAAATAAAGAAATCAACAGCTCAAGGACTTGATAAAAACTGCGTCACAAATCAAACACCTCATCTCGAAAACCTTAAGCTTCCTTTTGGGTAAGTTACATGCTCTTCTCCTTGCTAATCCAGGTGGGTGGGACCCTTGACAAGTGCAAAATGAAAAGCTGATTCTCTTCACAACGAATAATGGGTTTATTCAAGCCCTACACCTAAGACTTCAGGACTTTTACTTTTCACCGATTCAAAAGCAATGTAGTCATGAAGAAAGAGAAAGAGGTATAAAGCTGTACTTCCCTAAACACCCGAATGTGAATATATGGTATTCTTCTCTAGCATCCCTCCCTCTTGCCTCCACCACCTCATTTCATAGGCCTGGATATAAGCGTGCATTTCTGTTCTGCCAATGGTGGATAATGTCACCTTAATGTTCTGTAAATGTCAAGGGTTCTTTCTTTTTGATGGTGGAGCAATATAAAAATCAACAAATTTAATTTTACTACAGTCACGGTTTTCAGATTTCCTAATTACCCTTGGCCATGAGCAGATCAGCTCATCTCTCTATTCTGTACAGCCCCCAAGGTCTTTGATTATTTTTAGTGTGTGTATGGGGGAAACACAAAGGTGGTTTGAATCAATTAATCAAAATGCATGGCAGGACCTAAGCAGTTTTTTTTTTTTTTTTTAATTATGAAAGTAATCAATCAACTGCTTAGATACCATCTCCCTCCCTTTCCCTACGACACTGCTGATGGGGACCAGGGCATGGAGACTAAGTGATCCATCGTATTAAGAAAAAATTTTAACTGGAGCTAAGTATACTCTATTCAGAGCATGATCATAAACTAGGAAACAGAGACCTTAGTAACCAGAAATATAAAATATTGAGATAATTCCATTTGACTTGACTACCAAGACGAACTAAAAATAATTAAGAATCTTGGACCACTAGGTTGTGTCTACACTACTTCTACGTTGCTACTCTCTTGGCTTTATAAAAAGGTAAGGATAAGGGGAATTATCCTACATGGCAACAGAACTGAGGGGAAGAGGGAGGAAGAAAAGAAAAAACCCACATTATTTTTCCCCATGATAAACTAGAAGCACATGTGAGCTCCACAGAAGCAAACTTTTCAGCAAGGCTGAAATAAACCTAGCCTGTAAAATGTATTTTCTTGAAATGATCTTAAAAAGAGTTATGCTGTGAATATTCAGTTAAAAAAATGTTCATAAAAATTCTTGGAATTATTCATGGTTATCAATATAGCATATTGAATATAGCTTAATGAAAACATTTATCATAGCAACCCTAACCCATATCCATGTTTCATTTAAAAAAAAAAAAAAAGCATAAATGCACACTGCTCTGTAGAAGGATATGCTGTGCAAAAAAAAAAAAAAAAAGTTGTAAACCAAGTAATATTTTAAGTGCGCTTGGTTTGGTCTGAGAGAAATGCAAGTTGGATCATCTAATGACACATTAAGCCTTTTAAAATACTTTGAAGATACTGTCTCTGCTGTCAGGAAGGTTGTCACACAAAAGTGACACTATAAACGTGCTCTCCAAGAAAAGCCCAATCCCCTTGATTGCCTCACCACCACTGAGGGACGTGTGGGAAGTTTCTGTGTCCAGTTACCCAGAGACTGGGACAGTAACGTGTGTCTGCAGTGGAGTCTTCATATGCACATGAAATACCAATTTGAATTGTGTTGGTATTTCTCACTCTCTCCTCCCCTCTTAGTCCTAGATGCATGGAGATCATCTGGGAATCCCACAGAATAAGCATCTTGCTGCACTAAGAGGCTGGTGTGGATATCTATAGAAGTTATCTGGCACAACATGGCCCCATAACAGAAACCAGCTCCTTCAAAGAAACCACCACCCATTTCAACACCAGGAGGAAAGTTGCTTTATATTGTACCTTATGGGGGACATGAGCCATTTTTTGAGGGTAATTTTGAGCACATCACTGTCTGATACAGTTCCTTACTCTTAACTTTGACTTAGACACAACTGTGGGAGGCCTGCTTTTGCATCAACAACAGAGAATACCACACGGTCCTTAGTGAGTTCTGCCTGCCATCCGAGAATCCCACCGAGGCCCAGCGGTGAAAGCGAACTGGCTCTCACGTCAAATTGAATCAAGGACGGTTTGCTCTATGGCCGCGTGGCCAGGAGGAGTGACCTCAGTTCGTAAGAGCTGACCCCCCAAGTCCTAGACGTGGGGCCGTGGAGGGAGTGGAGCCGCACCAAACAGCCGCTGTCACTGCCTAGTGAGGCCAGCCTGGGATTCCCAACACCAGCCATCACTTCTCAAGGTGGCGGATGGAGAACGGGTGGACAACAGGCTGCACGCCCAGGCTCTTACCCGACAGTGTGGAGCTGCTGATGGTACTGGCGGGCGTGGTGACCTCGGGCTCCTCCTGAGCACTCTCTGCAGGAGGAAGGGCTGGCTTTTCTGGCTCCTCCGGCAGGTCTCTGGGGCAGGGGGCAGCCTCATCTTTCTCTGCCTCTGTTGAAATAGCCAGTTTGGGAAGTGGGCCAGAACTGAGTTTATGTCTGTTGCTTTCAGTATCTGAAGAGTTGGATGTGGATAACTGTTGCCTTAATTAAAAACAAAACAAAGTCATGTATGCATACACACTAGGAAATTGCATTCAAGGAGACTCTGGGAAGCAATGAAGTAAAAATGGAACTGAGGTAAGCCTAACCAACGCACGTCTAGTGCAGTGGTTCTTACAGCATCCCCTGGAACTTAGGACAAAGGCACATTCTCGGCCTCCATCCCCGATTGAGCGGAGCAGATAGGATGGGACAGGCCCAGCCATCTGTGTTCTCACAGGGTTTCCAGGAGATTCCGATGCTCCCTCAGGCTGAAGAACCACTGCGCTAGCAGCGACCGCTTACGACCTCTCTTAACAGGCGTTTCACATACATTTCAGAATATTCCGAACTCCAGCTGAATGTTTCTGTGGACGGCAATGCTGTGCTTTTCGTTTTGTCTCCGGGGTCTTCCTTCTCTTCTCCGGAATTCTGAGTTATTCGGTCTATGCTGCTGAAAACCTGCGAGGCGAAGCACTGGCGTTTATTATCAGCTTCTCGAAAGAGTTTGTCAGAAAAACCCCAAACCTTGGGAGAAAAGTCTGAGTATGACAAAAGTTTCAACTGGGACTGTGTATTCAGAAGGTACCTTCCGACGCTGTTTACTTGAGTTCTGAGATGAATGGTCCGTGTATCTATTTTTTTCTCCCTGGAGCGGGGAAGCTACGGATTCATCACCTGCTTGCCCTAGCTCGTTATGGACTTTGCATCTGCAAACACAGTCCACAGATGCTTTGGGGTTTCTAAGCCCCGGGATCAATGCACATCGTAGATGACTTTTTAACCATGAAGTCTATTAGAAAAAAGAAAGTCACAGAGAAAAATATTTAATGGCCATCAGTCAGGAGTGGAAAGGAGAGAAATGAATTGGAATTGGGTGCAAAGAGAAGAATAAATTACCTCTTTCAAGACATGTGTGTGTGGGGAGGCAGTGCATATTTGGTTCTGAGTCAGAGGTGTTTGTTTGGCTTATAAATCACATACACAGATGGGCAGCTTCCTATGATGGGACTGGCGTTTCTGAAGGGGATCAGAGCTTGGGCAGACCTGAGATCTCTGCTGTCCCACAGGAAAGATGGAAAGAAAAATTGGGAGCGGAGAGCCCAGGGCAGGAAGCACTCCCCACCGTCCAACACAGCCCCTTGCTGCTCTTGTGGGAGTGGCCCTTAAATGGCCTGTCATCTACTGCGGTGAGGCCCAGGGTGGCTAACGAACAGGAGACAGTGGGAAGGAAACAGAGTTCAGGGCCCCTCTTGGATGGGCCAGAGCACACGCACGGTGGAAAGCCTGTCCTCAGCTTCAGTCCTGGCTCTGGGCGGGCCAGCCAGCAGCCCCTCTAGGCAGACCCCACCTCTCCATGGCCTTCCCTTAAACAGTGAGGGCAGCACCGGCCCATTTGCAGACGTGCTCTATCTAGTGGTCACGTACAAAAAGGTACGGAACACTTTATAAACCCTACATGTTACAGAAGAGCTGAACAATCATCAAGCAAAATGCCATGGCAACAAGTAATGCATAGCTACTGAAAATAGCAAAAGGGAGGTAGGGGGCCCTCCATGTTCCTTTCCATTTTCCTAGGGCCCTGCCCAGTTTCAGGACTGTCCGGTTTCTTTGTGAATTTTTTCATCTTACCACTATCAGTAAAAAGCATTCTCAGACACCGATTTTATTTTCTTCTCCCATTTCCAAATTTCTAGCTTGGCTTCCTCCGGCGTCTGTCATGTAGCTTACATTTTCTATTACTGGCTACAAGACTTTCTCATTCCATAGCAACTATCCCCAAGGGTCCTAGCTGATGTCAAGGACTCCCGACTGCTCCCTTGTATTGTATTCTGTGTGATACTAGGTGGAGGCTGTGCACACAAGGACTCAAGCTCAATGTTCTTTATTAGAGGATCAGAGAAATGGGGGACTCCTCCACAGCCTGGCACTGAACTAGACTCTGTCCCGCAGGGTGAGGTCAGTATATATATGGCTGTCGTGTTCTACAAAGACAGCACTACGAGTCCAAGTCTGGGCCACTCACTGGTGGAGAGTGAAACAAGCAGGTAGGGACTCTGGATTATCAAGATGGTGGGGTCACTTCCGAAACTCAAAGGAATTTTAAGTACAGGAGACCCCAAGCCCCAAAACACTGTGGGTGGTTTTTAGGATCTTGTCCAGCTGCTTAGGCATGCCCACTATCTGGCCGGAGGGAGATTCTCTGGAGAGACTCTGCATGTTTATGCCCCATTTCACTTACTTTGGAAAACCTGTGTGAACAGGAGGAAAACTGCCTTATTTCCACATTAAAGTCTTCGTCGTTCGTGTCATCTTCCTCCTCCGTCTCCATGTGATGATACTTCTCTGATCGAGCTGCAGAGAAATGTTTGGGAACAGTTCCAATTACTCTGAATTTCAGCTTTTAATTTAGATATATTAATTAGGAGCTTCTATATCAAAGCAGCCTTATGTGTAAGAACTCACAGGTTCAAGACTGGAAGGTTCTATCCTAAGTGGAGATAATTTTCTACAAAGTAAAGGTCAAACAATGTTTTATGTCAGAGAATTCACGTACTATCAAAATAACTTGTGTCATCCTCGGATTCCAGTTGGGGAATAAATTCTGCCTTCTGTCTCAGCAAACTGTTCCAGTCTAAAGAACGGAAGAATCGATGCTGTTTGACTTCGTAGGCACCACCTTGGGGCGGGGAGGGAGGGAAAGGACAGAGGGGAAGATGTTAAACTGCCCTCCAAGCAAAGCTTTTAAGAACAACCCCCATGCCCCCAATCTATCAGTAGAGAAATAAAGAAATCATGGAAATCTTACTTTTTTATTCAACAACCAACGCCCCCCCCACAAAAAAAATTTCTTCCCCATAATTTATCAGCAGAGGATTTGATTATGCTAACAGCAGTTGCTACGGCACACTTTTTCTTTGTTAATTTTTCCATGACTTCCTCCATTTTTCAAAGGTTAATGATGCAGCCACTTAAAATCACATTATGCTGAACCTGGGGACGTGGACGCACATTGGCCCAAAGCAGACTCGCTCATTACAAAACCAAAGAAATTCTAACAAGGTGCAAAATGTGTTCACAGCAATATTTCCTCTGGAGGCAAGGTTAATAAAGATGAATATTTCCTGAATAGTATATAATGGTTTCCATTCAATTTTACTGGATTGCTCGTTAACATAGGTAGGACTTTGATTCTGTGGATTACAGATTCTTATGTAAGAAACTGGCAAACCTGTTTGATAGATTTATAAAGCATGGGATGAAAATCAGTCACAGTTCTTAAGTTTTAGGCTTTTTTTTTGCCAAGTCAGCATGACTATGCAATTCGGTAAAATGTTTTTAATTCAGTTCATAGTTTTATTTTATTATTTTTAAAAAGTATTTCTTTTTTTTAAAAAAATATTTATTTATTTGAGAGAGAGAGAGACCATAAACCAGGGAGAGAGGGAGAAGCAGACTCCCCACTGAGCAGGGATCCCCATGCGGGACTCGATCCCGGGACTCTGCGGTCATGACCTGAGCTGAAAGCAGACACTTAATCGAATGAGCCACCCAGGCGCCCCTCAGTTCATAATTTTAAAGAAGGATTTGGAAGGGCAAATCCCATCAAAATATCACACCCTACCCCAGGAAAGAGAAGAAGGCCCACATGTTATACAGTCGTAGCGTGAGCATCAGTCCCCTGCCTGCTCCCCCTCCAAAAAAACACTGTTAAGGAGGGAGAGAAGGAAGAATCTATCCTGAAAAAACACCAGGAAGAGAGATTTCACACAAGACTAATACAGGCTCTAATCGCTTCCCTGCCAGGAGATGCCCCGTAGGGGTGACGTAAATGCCTCTTTCATGTACTTGTCGTCATGCTTCCCACCCTGTCCTCAGTGCAGTACAAAAAAAGAGGATGAGAAATGCAAAGTGAAGGAGAAATGGGTCTGGGTGTTGGGGTGGGGGAGCTGTCTGCGTGGTCCAGAGATGTGGCTGTGTCCCCATCAGACTGCTCTAGCGCAGGGGGCAGGTTGGAGCCCCAAACCCTGCCAGGACAAATGAGTGTATGGAGAACAATGGAGAGAAAAGAGCAAAGTGGGAAAATCACCCCAAGAAAAGGAGAAGAGATTCTTCGTTACTAAGCATTTGATGAGAACCTTTGTCCAGTATCGTGCATGGGCATTCTCTGTGTTTCCAGCACAACAGCGAAGTCTGACAGTGGCCACAGCGGCAGCAGTGCTAGCCAGCTCCGAGAGGAGGGCTGACTTGGACAAGGATTGCACTACATGCTAGAGGCATCTAGTTTCCTTTCATGAAATCACTGAGAGCAACCCCGCAAAGTAGGCATTCTGTCAGCTCCATGTGTGGATGGGGAAACGAAGCATAAGCAATAAAGCATACTGAACCGCGAGCACCTGTTAAGTACAATTTGGAGAGGCTGAGCTGAAGTCTGTTTAAAAAGGGCCAGGCCCATCCTCGGTGTCATAGTGCCAACACGCCCACACAAAGCTGCCAGACACACTCTCTTCCAGCATTCTTAGCTCAGAGAAGCTGAAAGATCTTAAGCATCTATCCAGCTCCCTCACTGTGCCGATGACACTGAGGTCCACAGGGTCAAGCCCTACCGAGTGGCACACTACACACCACGCTGCAGGACTCTCGCTTCTGCTGCTGTTCATGGGGACACACCAATGACAGCTGATACTCCGAGGTCGCTCAGCTTTACTCAGAGAAGCGCAGTTCTCTAGATCCAAGGGCTCACAGGGCACTTCCAGACCGTAGCAGCGGGAGGGTTTGGGTTTTCATTCCCCCACCCGCCACTCTTTGGAACCCAAGTCGGGGAGAACATTCACTTCATCTCTGTGGATGACAACAAGTGGGTCCTCCCCACAGAGTCACAGCCCATGGGTGACCCAGCTCACATTTCTCACCCTTTGGCCTTCGTGCTCTGCCCCCCCCGCCCCCGCCGCCCCCGAGAAGAGGCTCCCTGACCACGGAATCCTGTTTCTCACGCACTTTCGCTGAGATGGGGAACAAAAAAATTAAAAGGACACACTGGGGAGAAATGACCTCTGGGCTAAACCACTGGGGCAATGCAGATGATGGCATTACGAGCCCTATACAAATGATCGGGCACAGGAACTCAGGCAGGTGACAGTGCTCAGTGCAAGAATTCACCATGCAGGGAAGGAAAGGGAACGGATTATGTCTGGAGCTCTTGTGATGCACTACGTTAATGTACTCGGTAGCTTCATGACCATGTTTGCATTCAGTCCTTGCAATCATCCTGACAGCGGTACAATAACATGCCCATTTTCCTAGATCAGGAAACTGTGACCCAGGTCACGAAGAAACTACTCTGTATCTCCCAGCTGGTACCCAGGTGGGAGTCAGTCACCTCTGAGCAGCTATAAAGTCCAATACACCAGGCTGCCACTCAATACTTCACAAGTTCAGAAGTCTAGTTCAAGTAGGACAAGTTTCCAAATTTTAAGTTATGCTTCACAGTAATGTTTCCCCCTTGAGTTTTTCTCTCCTTTCATGGAAGTTTCTTAAACATCCATTATGTTCTTCACACCCCTCTTCTCAGCCTCTCTAGTCTCTCGGGCAAATGTGAATTCACACATTTTCACGGCGCATTATTTTGCCCGCTCAGTATGCATTAAATCCAAAATGCTGTCATTGGAAGCAGCATGGCAGGCCTGTGGGATTCTCAGTCTCATTCTCCGGGCCCTACTGGGATCTGTCACGTTGGACCTGCCTGTTTGGCAAGTACTTTCTGAAAATGCTAAGAGCTTGGGCAGGGCCTTTTAAAATGTCTCTTTTGAGCTTCTGCTAGGAGATTCGCGTCTCTAATTGTCAAGCCCTGAAAAGAACACAAGTAGCAGTCAGGGAGAAAATGCACAGACAGATAACTCACAGCCTATAACATAGAAACATGGGCGTGCTGACCAGCATCAGAGCCCCGTTTTGTTGAAGTCAAGCCCAGTCAAGATTCCAAGCATTCTCAGAGGAGGGAAACAGGCAGAAGACTCAGTGGGAAAACTCTCCAAACTGACCCAAGAACACTGAAGAGAAGCAGGCTCTTGGGAAGGCATGTGCCAATTCTATTGTTATCTTCGGTCACATCTCAGGACAACGCTTCCCTGGGGCAGCTGAGTAGGACATATACATTGATATTTGTGTTGTTGCAGGATAAGCTGAAAATCAGTCCTCAAAACTCTACCCCATTCAGAGTGTGACACAGATTCTTTGACCGCTACTCCTATCTCTGGGGCCAGAAAGCAAATGTGACTGCAGGTCACAGCGGGCAGGGAGTAACAACTTTGCTAGTCACTTCAGACGAAAGGAACACCAAATAGGATGGGAAGAAATATATTCTGTTCAAAGACTTCAGTCAGCTCAAAGGTAGGGGCACCACCACCATTTCTGGAACTCAGACGTCTATAGGGGAAAGCACAAGATTATGCAGGCAGGAAATAAAAATGACAGTACCAGTGGAAGCAGTGTCCCACCTGGTTCTAAGAGCAAGAATGGGTGATCTTTTATCCTCATGAAAACCCTGTGAGGCAGTACTTCTCTAAGCTCCATTTTACAGATGAGGAAATGAGGCACAGAAAGGGAAGCATCCTGCCCACAACCACACAGCAGAGATTTTAAACTCAGGCGATCTGACTGTGGAGTTTGTGCCCTTAATTTCCACTTATATTGCCTCTCCTAGCCGAAGGCCCACTCATCCACTGCAAAAGGCATACAGGCGCATGGTACTCCAGGAAGAGGCTCAACTCAAAAAAGTTTTCCCGGGTGAGCCTGAAGTTTCAATCTTCTTTGATATGCTAATGCAGTCAATGAGATTTTTCTGTACAAAGCCAAAGAGTAAATACTTTAGGCTTTGTGGGTCATACAGTTTGGGGACTCAACTCTGCCACCCAACCATGAAGGCAGCTACAGACAATGTGTATGAATGGCACTGCTGTATTTCAATAAAACTTTATTTACAAGATAAGAATATGGCCTATGGGTTTCAACACATCATCGTCAACTCTAGGAGCACAGCATACTTAAGTAAGAATGGAGCCCTCCAACTGGGGGGAGCTGTGGGCAAACATGGAGAGTAACGTGTATTTGGAGCTGTTGCAAATTATCTTTGTCCAGGAAAAACTGAAGGAGAGAATGATTTGTTCAGTATTTTCAGATATTTCTATTACAATGAAGTAGAATGAAACAGCTCAGATTAAATACTCCATCAAGTCAACAATTTTCACTGTGGAAAATTATGGATACTATCTACAATGTATACGTGTGTGTGTGTTGTGCTTATATTTAATATTTAGTTCCATCTGGATAAATTCATATACTGAGGTAGACTGGGACTCGACATTGGGATCTCTGTGTCTATTCAGAATACAAGAGAAGCAAGAGGAGAAGCAGAAAAAAAAAAACAAAACTGTAAGTAGAACAGTTGAAGGGGAAAATAATCAGCAAGAAATTATCTTGAAATTATCTCCTTAATCTTGAAAGCCAATGGTTTTAATCCTCTTTCTTGGGCTATGGTGCTGATCACCATGATGAGACAGCATAGTTCAACCCCAGACACTCATTTCTAGTAATTAATTAGTTCAAGTACTGATAACCCATTTCAAAGCCTCTAGATAGTAATGGGCTGGGTCAAATCTTGCTGGGGGAGAGAGAGAGAGAGGGGGAGGGGGGGGAGAGAGAGAGAGAGAGTGTGTGTGTGTCCATATCCAAACAAAAAAGCTTCACATCTTAAATCCTCTGTTTTAATTTATTTAAGATGCATGTTTTTCAGGATAGAAGAATTATATTGTGCCCTTGGAGGTTTTCTTCCAGACCAATTTTATTTATTTAAACAAATTGAGAATGACTTTTGCTTTGCAAAACAACAAGAAAAAAAAAAATCAAAGACAACCAACCACCAAGCCTCCTAGTGTACATACTGCTCTGAATCAGAAAAAAAATCCAAAATATTATTGTTATGATGTGTTGTAGTCATGTCCTACATCAACCAACAGATGTTTCTTATGCCAAAAAAACAAAACACAAACAAAAACCTCTGAGTGCTCCACAAAGGCATTATTTTTTGCATATTAACAAAATTAAAACATATGTGCTCTAACCTGTTCCCAGTCTCTCCAGGGGATTCTGCCTAAGAAGCAAGGTAATCAGATCCTGGGCGTCAGGGGGTGGTGCCTCATCCTTTTCCGGCCAGTTGATCTCATCTAGAAGGGAGACATGTCATTTACAACTTTATTGCTCAAATGGCAGTCCAGGTCCCAACAGCCTGGGGGTTGCCTGGGAGTTTGTTACAGAAAGAGAACTTCAGGCTCCATCCCAGACTGAATGAGAATCTGCATTTTAGTAGGATTGTCAGTTGATTCCTGGGCCCAGTCAAGTTTGAGAAGCATTGTTTCACCAGACATGAACCAGCACAGCTTACAACAAGGCAGGGAGAAAACATTTCGATAAGCAGTACCTTCCATTTGCTTTTTTGATTCTTTGTATTTTTTTTTCTTTTTGGGAGACTTGGCTCAAAACAGATTATTCCTTCTAGTTATTAAGAGGACTTAATATGGTGAAAACTCTTAACACCTGTGTTTTAGACGTCCCCCTTCCAGGGAATCAAGAGTAAGATTTTTCTTTCCTACTATCCTCAAATGTGAATTTGGCCCCAGCCCTAGAGTTCTTCAGCTTCCAGAAGCACAAATTAATTTTGCAAAAATAACTGTCTCTAGAGACAAACAAAAGGCCAAAGTGTTAAGTTTGAAGACAAAAAATCCAAAGTAATCATAGTAATAATGGAAGTATTTAAAGTCTGTCATAAATACTAGAATATGTTCTACATTCCACAGGAGTTTGCCCAAAGATAAGGTGTGCATGCTTGTGTGTATGGAAATGCAATAAAAACATGAGTTACTTCTGTGTGTGCCTGCCTCCAACTTCCTCTGCTGCAGTTTAAATCTGATTTGGAAAATAAAACATGAATATGCATCTGAGCCGTAAGGCATGGAGAACAAAGCCAGCATTTGCTGCTTGTGTTAATTAAACAGTTGATTCCTCTTGCCATTCAGGCCTTAGTATATCAGAAAACAGCCTAGTTATAAATCCATAAACAGCTCAGGTAGAAAAGGGTTATACACTGCAGGCAACTCACAAATCTACTTTGTTAAAGTTTACAGATATGCCTGGCTTGCAAAGTCAATGATAGAGAACAATGCCGCGATTAAGGGACTCCTCATCCCAACATGAATTTTCCCTCCCTTTCCACTGATAGACCCTGTAAGCACAGTCCAGAAGGTGGCGGGGTGGGTGATGGGGGTGTCAGCGATGACTAACAAACTTTGAGGAGGAGAGGCCTTTTTGATCTAGGCTTCGGGGAAATTTATAAAAACAGCAGGTAGGGTAGTAATAGAGCCTATTTAATTATCATTTAGTTTTGCCACAAGCCGCATAACAACAGTGAGGGTCAGTGTGCAGGTTAAGATCTAGAGGTTATTGAATTTTAAATGAAAGATGAACAGCTGTTACAGAAATAACATTACACCATAACAACCACCAATGAAATCATTAACAATCTGTGAATTAAATTTGCTTCCTTCCCATTCTCATTATTTATTATTTGGTAGACATTTGTTTTAGGGTTTATTACATTTTTGTTAATTTCTTCATTGTGCCATTAGCCATTTTCCCCCATTTATGTAAATGTTACCCACATTAACCTTTTCTTCCCTGGTGCAACTTTCCTATTATGGAAAGGAAGACTGGACAGCAATGAAATAATTTGCAAATCCCACGTGAATTTCTTTTGCAGAAGAACACACCATAAAAATTGGTTACACTGCTAGTACATTTCCAAATTCCATGTTAACGAAACTTCCTCAGATCAATTTTCAACACAAACTGATCTCCTGAGATTTGTGAAAGTCAGTTATGTGCTATGATGAGTGAGTTCTTTTAATTTGTTGGCTAAACTGTTTGATAAAGGTTAACATTTTAGTAGTTAAAACGGCAATACTCCACAGAATTGCAAGAAATAGCTGTTTCCCAACAGTCGCTTGGAGATAACTCCTGATGATATTTACCACTGATGACTTGTCCAAATAGCTCTTCTGGAGTATCCCCAAAGAATGGCACGCATCCAACAAGAAATTCATAGAGGATAATCCCCATGGCCCACCAGTCCACCGGCTTCCCATAGCCCTGCCTCAGAATCACTTCTGGTGCAATGTATTCAGGTGTGCCACAGACCTAAAAGATGATTGCAATATTAGAATAATTGGAATATCAGACATGAATTAAAATGAGCAAGATGGCTACACACCATTTATTTTGCCCAGAGTGCACCTGCTCAACCACATGGAACCACACGGACAAAGAACTTAGGAACAGCAATTATAAGTCAGTATCCATAACACCAAAGGCAATGAAATATTTAAATAGCAAAAAAGGGAAATTTAAAATGCTGCTGTAATGTTAAACTGTGTAGTGAGCAATTTCAAATTGAGGGTTTCACCCTATTTGGTGGTTTTACTTATTTCATAGGATTAAAAACATTTTTAATCCTCAAAGTTAATATAATGATGCATTTTTAATCTGTCACTACCACAGATAGTTTTAGTATTTATATGACCAAAATATATTCACATCCTAGCTACTTCATAAAAGCATGACAGTTGAGATGTGTTTTACCTTAAGTAACTTACAATGAACAGATTGTGGGCACATGGTAATGAGGCATGCCTAAAGGGAAATGGGCCATGGCTCGGATTTTAGCACCCGTGACTGTACAATGCATCATGAGTTTCATGAGTACTCTGCTGAGATTCCTGAATTCCTTACAAAAACCGTTTTCCATTTGTCTCTCTCACATTCTCACTTGTGTGCAATTACATCGTTCGTCTTGCTAATAGACCATAATGCTGGGGGAGGAATGTGGAGGAATGGACAGTTCAAAGAGGCCTAGGGAGAAAACTGGAAGCAATCTGCACTTTATTAAACGTAAGGCTCATACAGACATCTAAGCGCCCAGTCCTAACGTGGACCTGGCTTACACAAGTTGATTCTGAATGTCACTGGCAATATCGTACTTTGTATCCTTCTCTCCAACTGAGCAGGAGCCAAGCTTACCTGTTTGTCCAGGAACTCTCGAGCATCCTTCTCGATATGACCCTCATAGAGATTGGTAGTCATGCTCATTAGTCCCACCTTGGATAATCCAAAATCTGTCAGCTTTATGTGCCCCATGGAGGTGACCAACAAACTATGAAGCAGAAGGACACATATTATAACACTTGTTTGAAGTTCTTTCTTTCTTTTTTTTTTTTAGGCTTTCTCCTTCTCCTGTCAATTTGTAAGACTATTCACTATAGTGGTATCAATCTTTTTCATTTATTTATTTATTTATTTATTTCAGAGAGAGGGGAGGGGCAGGGGACAGGGAGAGAGGATCTTAAGCGTGGAGCCCAACATGGGGCTCGACCTCATGACCCTGAGATCATGACCTGAGCGGAAATCAAGAGTTGGATACTTAACTGACTGAGCCACCCAGGCGCCCCAAGGTATCAATTTTAATATAAAACCCAGCCTGAGAAGAGGTAAGGTCACATGAACATATTACATATGTGTATCTGCTCACGAGTGTAATTTACAAGGGAGGGCCAGACACCTGGCCCACCTAATCTTTGTTGGGGCAGCCACATACAGTATCATTTACAGGTTTAAACTTAGAAAAATCCAAGCATGGGACTCTGACATCTTTCTATTTTCAGAACAATAAAATAGAAAAGTGTTACCAATAATCCCACGTCATACATAAGAACTAAGATAAGCAACCTGTTTGTGATTTAAGTGACACATAAGCTAAAGAACTTGGACAGAAAAATGATTTAAGATTTTAACTTATGGCTCAAATTTAAATTTCTGTTCATTAAGCACAAAATGTAGATTTCTTATACAATGCAAAGAAATCACATGTGACAGTTTTATGAATTTAATTTTTAAACATTTTGATTTTCAGAGGAAAAATAAAAATTTTAATTAATTAAAACATTAAAGGAATAGAGGATGTGAAAAGAGGAAAAAATAGCTACTGGAAGGAAATATTCCATATTCTAACAGCTGTCTTTGTTGGGTAATGTTGTGAATGAATTTTTTCATATGTTTTTCTGTACTTCAAAATTTTCTAGAATGAGCATGAGTTAATTTTATCATAAAATTTTCAGCACGCTTAGAATCTTTACATATTAACATGTAATGCTTTTAGAGGTGTCTGAAATTAGTGGAGAAAGCATAAAACATTTAATAAATGGTGTCAAGATGAATAACTTAGTCATTTGAGAGGAAAAAAAGTATATCTGTATCTCAAATCAGACACTAACATGAGCTTCATGAAGATTAAAAATTAAATTCAGTATTAAATGGTGAGAGAGAATATAATATCAAGTATATCATCTTGGTGTAGGACAGGGTTATCTATGTATAATACCAAATGCAGAAACTATCCAGAAAACAATTAGAAGCTTTCTATGAAGCTATTCAAAAATGAACATAATAAAAACAACTTAAAAAAATTTAACTAACCCTGGCTTTATAATCTTTTTCTTTTGTTCCTTATAAGCTATTATTATAAGCAGCAGAGCCTTTAAAGTATTATATAAATATTATCATATATACTGCCAAAATAACTCATTTGGGAACGTTATGGGAGAATTTCAAAATATGCAAAGCAACATTAAAACATTTTTAGAGACATAAGACAACTTTTTCTATTGTGCGTAAAAAAAGATGTTTCCTCAGTGTACATACTTGTCTGGTTTCAAGTCCCTGTGTACAATTCCATAATTATGTAGATATTCCAAGGCCAGCACCGTCTCGGCAAAGTACATCCTGGCCATATCAACAGGGAGAGGCCCCATGTTCTTCATTAATGTAGCACAGTCACCCCCTGTAAAACCCAAGCACAGGATTTAGCAGGTGGAGTATCAAGAAGACCATCAGTTCAGATTACAGACCTTCAAAGCAGAATGGCCTCTACCCACAGACACAGGATCTCAAATTCCAAAGTGGAGGCCATGCACTGAGTAATGTTTCTAATTAAGATGTGGTATGGGAAAAAAAATATATAGGTATATATATATTTTTTTTCTTTTTTTTTCAAGTAGGAGTCCTCCTAAGGGAGGAGATTTTCTCCAAGGTGGAACTGAAATTTGAAGAACAAAACACACCAGCATAAAGCATGGGTTCTAGAATCAGGCTACCCGAGTTCAAATACTACCTGTGACTCTCAGGGGCAGGGAGATCTTAGACAAGCTAGTCCCAGCTCTTTCCTCTAATATCAGGATGGTAAGACTGTCATCCTTTTTCAGATTATTGTGAGGATTAAATGAGGTAATCTATGTAAAGAATTTAGGATACTGCCAATATTTATTAAACATGTGATAAATGTTAGTTACTGTAAACACAACCGAGGTTAATAAAGCCAAGTGCTGTTGTGGGGAAAAAAAATGGGTGGAAATCAGGCAAGATATGCTTTTGTCTTGTATCCACGAGGAAAGTAGCTAGTAAGTCTCTCCCTTTCGAGGATTTCAGTTCACTTATCTGCAAAATGAAAAGGTTGAACTAAATGATATTTAATGTTTCTTTGAGGTTTATAGTTTTGGAATTCTGCTCCTACGATTTTAAGAGCTTAAATTAGATGCTTCGAAGATTGTTTTGGCCCTTCCTAATTTATTCCTTTTATTAACTTTGTTTATATCAATAAGTCATGGCCAAAAACACAGAAATTGAATGTAAAACTGAAGGAAATAAGAACATTTAAAAGGTAAGTCATAAACGTCAAAAAAAAAAAAGCTACATTTTCTTGACTTGTATCTCCTCCTTGTCTCCTAATTCATTTTTAATTTCATACCATAGACCAAAAAAGGATATATTTTTAATTCATTCTTTAAGAAGATCAATTGTAATGAACGATTTTATGCTATGTGATAAAAGTGAGTAGGAAAAAAATCCCATCACCTATCTTCTAACTTTAATGACCAATAGGATTAAAAGCTATTAAAAAAGAAAAACAACCTTCTCCCAAATAGCACTAATTTTCCCTTTGTTATAGTAGAGCAGGCACTTTACAAGCAATTATCAGAAGATAATGACTGGGAATACAGCCATCTCATTGCCTGGCTTCGCTTCCTAGGTGGATACAACCATTATGTAGCCCAACAGGGAAAGCCTCCACCGCACAAAGGAGGAGGCAGTTTCTGGGTACCGGTGTCATGTTCTCTGATTTACCTTCCACGTATTCCATGACCATGCATAAGTGGCGCCTTGTTTCAAAGGAGCAATACATGCTGACGACAAAGGGGTTCTCTGCAAAAGTCAGGATATCCCGTTCCACGAAGGCCTGCTGGATCTGATTGCGGAGGATGAGGTTCTGTTTATTAATCTTTTTCATAGCAAACCTCTGCCGGGATTCCTTATGCCGAACAAAGTAGACTGCCCTGAAAAGGAGCACAAGAGGTGGGGTTCACGGGAAGTGAGGATGCTTCTGGATACGGTAAACAATGGGTGACTGTCAACTTTTTTTTTTTTTTTTTTACATTCACATGGCACCTGGAATTCAGCTCATACACGCTATCCTAGCAGCTACAAGCATCCCATTCCAGGCCAAAATCTTATGGCTACATTTATTTCTAAATCTTTCAATAAAGGTCACTGATCATACATAAGGCATCAAATTCATCTTCACCACAAGGACAGAAATGGAGTCTCCAGAGTGAGCTATTTTCCAATAGCTAGCTGATGTTTTCAGTTTTTCCACAAACAAAACAAAATTCAATATATAAATCAGAGCAGGAAAAGAACTAACAAAAGTACATACCATGAGCTATATCCTTTCAAGCATTAGATATATGTTAGGCATTTTTTCTAGACTGACTAAAGTGATAATTTTCTATATGATACCCTTGGGATCTGCAAAAAGGACCAAAGCTTCTTAGGGTAGGTGGCTTCCAACTTGAGGGTAATTTACTCCCCATGAAATTCCAGATAAATGAGAAGTATGTAATAGGTCATAGGAGGCTGTCCTGCAATGTAGCGTATTTCCCCACTACACACCTCAGCGTGATTTACACCTGTGTCTGTTTCAACAGAAAATGCATTTCCCAACATAAAAGGGCACCAATAATACACTGTTCCATCTGACCCATGGCCAAGGTGACAGCCAACTTTGCTGTAAAATGAGGAGGCTGCCCTGAATTTCTGCTGCAACACTCACTCACATACTCTAGAGAAGCAATTCTGGCTGGGTAAAGACAATGGACTCCATGAAGCTTGATGTGGAAGAAACAAGTCAAGAGAAGGAGGAGGCTTAAAACCTCGACTGGAAATGATGAGTAACGAGGAAAATGTCTTCAATTGGCTCAGTTTCTCTTAAGTTACTCCTCACTTGTCATTATTGTAGAGGAACAGATTTGAGCTCTCAGGTCAGCAAATGCTCAAATAAATAATAATTTACATAAACAGCAATCATGCACAGTAAAGTATATCCAATGTCTGTCTCCTAAAACAAAGGGTTATCTGATCCGAGATGCATATTCCACTGCTCACGAAAAATGAATGCAAGGTGGACTAGGACACCCTAAATCCCTGCTGAACCAATATACGCAGAGTAATCCACTTACATAAATCTTAAGTATATGCAGTCTCAGTTTAATTGGTATTCACATGTTCCGCCCAAGTGTTCAACTAGGAATTCATTTTTCTTTCAAGTCTGTGTGGGTTTGCCTTTTCATTGTATCCATCTTTTTCCTTCACTTGCAAAATTACATTTTTTTGGTCTCCGTTTAAACCTTATTTATTTATTTATTTTACTTTACTTCTTTTTTCCTCTCTCAGTATTTCTTTGGTCTTCTCTTTCTTCCTTCACTGTATAGAAAAAATCTCCTTTATCCACACTTTATATAACCAACTCAAGGAAGAATCTAGCGCTGTTATTCCCACTGTACCACAAACTGACAAGGGAGCGGGCCGGCTGGGCGGCCAGCACTTTCCACACAGGCTAGCGGTCTTCTTCAGGATGCCAAACGCCGGGGCTCTCACCAGCTGGGTTTATCTCTACACCTGTTTTCTTGGCAAGGCTTGATATCAGGATTAACTAATTTAAACAAATATTTAAACTGATGAAACAGGAGTGTGAAAAGGAAAAACTTTGCTGTTTATAAAAAAAAACAAATGGAATGCTTTGGAAAGTACTGCTAGATATGTTAAATGTGAGTTACTGGGTTTTATGCACAAACAATGAATCATGGAACACTACATCAAAAACTAATGATGTAATGTATGGTGATTAACATAATAAAAAATTTAAAAAATACTAAATAAAATTCCAATTGATGTAGTATGGGTGAGAAGGTTTTCAAAAGTGGAAAAAATAATACAGATCTAGAGTCCTATGTGCAGATTGCTTCAAGTTCCCGCTTCACCTTTAAAGCAGGGAAAATTAAAACAAAAACAATGTATTAGGAGAATGGTTTATATAGGCTGTCTTAAAAAGACCTTATATCAGAGGACTAGTAAATTTATATATATGTATATATATGTGTGTGTGTGTGTGTGTGTGTACACACACACACATTTATTTATTCATTTATCGTTTCTTTTTTTAAGAGCGAGAGCGTGCGAGTGGCGGAGTGGGAGGGGTGGAGGGGAGAGGAGAGAGAGAATCCCAAGCAGGCCCCACGCCCGGCACAGAGCCTGACATGGGGCTGGATCTCACAACCTAGGAGACTGTGACCTGAGCTGAAATCAAGAGTCAGACGCTTAACTGACTGAGCCACCCGGGCGCCCCTGAATTTACATATATTTAGATTGAACTGACATGTTTAATTTCAATATGCATCTGAAATTAAAAGTATATTTAAAGTATACTTTTTTTTTTTTTTAATGATTTCTGACTTGGACTTCTTAATTAACCAACCAACCACTCCTTTTTTCTGGATTGGGTTAAAGGCTTTTACAGTATTTTTCTTTTCCCAAATACTGATTGGATAAAATCAAGGTCCCCCCGAAAACCTTGCGCTTCTCCTGAGCAGATGCTGGAAGGCAGACAGACAGATACAAAGGGAGGGCAGAAAATAACCTGGCTTCCGCAGACACAGAAGACAAACACTGGTGAACAAATATTGTTACGAAGAACTTTTTAAAAGGGAATTTCCCTTTTAAAATAAGATTTAGAATTTGAAATGTTGAAAAAAAGAGTATCTTTATATGAGCGCCTGCCTCTTACTGAGAGTCAACTGGAATATAGCTTACGTTCTATCTCTTCTTTGAATATTTCACACTGAGTAGATGTAGCGCTGAGGACCCTCAGATATGATACTAGGAACTCCACCGTCAGGCGGCTGCCACTGGATTTTCATCAACTATCAGTGTTTCTTACATAAACTGCTCAGCAATATGTCTGAGAACAACAGGAAGTGGGGAAGGAAGAACAGGGCCATCCACCATTTAATGAAACAACAAAGGAGAAAGAGGCCTCGGGCCCAGTTTGACCAGCATCCAGACCAGGTTTCCCAGGGGCACTCTGTGAATGAAGAAGGACTCATATCTTTACTTTCAGATTTGCAATTTGTAAAACCTCATCTGACTTTTTGTGCTGCCTTGCTGGGATGTGCTTAAAAAGCATCAGTTAATCCCTAGGGAAATTTACCTACACCAATGGAAATTAATCCTATAGGTAGCTTGAGACATCACCGCGGCGGGACGTGCATATCTTGATCAAGTTGCAAAAGTCAACTAGACTTCTCAATTAGAATCTGCTGCAGCTAGTTATAGGCTTGTTTCATGTTCTTGTTTTTACAGTTCTTTACTGCTTTAGGAATATTCTTAACGCTGAAATCTGCCTGTTGAGCAGTAACTGTCCTCTCTCACGTACACCTTTCTTCCTCTCCTGTAAAGTGATGTTCCAAATCTACTTAAGTCAGCAGAGAGAGGGAGAGATTGAAACAGACAGACAGACAGACAGACAGCAACCAGCTGACAGACAGGACATCTATCCCTGCTACGCACAGCTATATACCGTCCAAGGTTACAAAACCGGACCGAACGGATTCAGCCCCTCATTTCTCTGCAGTTTGGCCTCAAAGGCTGCTTTCTTTGAAAGGGCTGCTTCTGTCTCTCTCTTCCTACACTGACCTGCCAGGTAAATAGTAGAACTCAAGGGTGGGGGGTGATGCGCAGAGCGGGGCAACTGTCCTCTCTCAGTCAAGGTTTTTTTCATCCCAGGCAGAAGTGAGGGGTGGGAGGGTGGGGAGAAATGGAATCAAAAGCTGACGGGATCTAGAACAGAATGAATCAGTCCTATCAGGAGTGTGAATGTCTAATGCGTATAAAATTACGCATAAATCTGAGAGCCCAGGACATGAACTCGTGCGAGCAAATCTGCACATGGGAACAAGAGTGCATGTGTTAGAGGAAAGGCTGTAGGCGGAGAGGCGTAAGCCACCAACCTGCACACATGGGTCTGTCACGTAAATGACCCCATCTTTTGAGGCATAAAAGAGAATGATGCGCAGCGAAGCTAGAAACTAAAGCAAAGTGGGACAGAAATGCTGCGCCTTTCCAATTTAGTTTTTTAAAATTTTTGAGTCAATTTTATTCTTTCACTCTGAAAACATCTGAAGCTCTCATTTGAAAGTCCAGATGGAATCAAGAGAAGATGGCTCCAAGTTGTAACAGGAATACTTTGAGAAGGAAGGAGCGCTGCTTGGAATCAGCGCACCTGTGACCAGCCATGCCGCTGAGCCTCTCTTTCCCCACACCTGGGTGGAAATAATATCAACGGGGCTCTTGCGAGAAGACAGCATACATAAACCAGCACCGTGCCTGGCACATGGCAAGGATGAGCTTTCTCCAAAGTGCTAAGCTGGCATGAAAGGACGTCTGACCTTCAGCCAGGGATCCGAAACGCGTTCAACGGAGAAGGAAACTGGATGATACCAAATTAGCAGACTGGCTTTATAACACGAACTGTCACTAAGTATGATGTTGAGAAAACCCCGACGTGTTATAGCTCCTTCTAATGAGAGGGTTGTTTCCAGCACAGGCGATTTTCACCAAGTCGCAGAATCAGGATCACTCTAAGCCACTGATGTGAGTGGTGGACTGTAACACAAGCTCCAGGGAAACCCCCAACAGCCTCAGTTCATCTCGAGAGAGGCATCCACGTGTTCAGCCACTTCGCATAAGCCTGCAATCAGCATCTTGACTGGGTGGACCAATAGGTATAGCTCCATTCAAATTTTAAATTAAAAATAATTAAAATGAAGAGGAAGTCTGTCAGAAATGTAATGAGAGATTAAATCTAAGAAGAGCAAAAGAGGGAAAAAAGTTTTGGCTGATGGGCAGAAGCTGCGGCAGGCAGCCTGTCAGCCCATTCAGGACTTGGCCTGCATCCTGGCTGTTTACTGATTCACAGCTTGTTTAACTTCTTGTATATTCCCAACCATTCCCCGAAGTGTGATATACCTTATCTACTAGACAGGGGTTTAATTGCACTACAAATGAGTTTACTCAACCAATTAGAACTCCAAATACTGCTAAGATATATGCCCAAATTTTATAAAAGCGGTGTTTCACAGATAATCTCATTCTAGAATTCCACTGCCAATAAAATCTATCAGTGCTGAAGCCCAGAGACCCATTAAATCAAAGTTCAGTTTTTTCCCTAATGAAGGAAGAAATCCTCAGAGGATCTCAAAAACTAAAACTAACTAAAACCAAATAAGAAACAAATAAAACTCACAAAAACAGTATGCTAAAACAATTTTCTTAGGGGGAAAAGTTTCAATGAGGTCCTTGAACTAAATGAAATATTATGAAAATAGAACATCAGAAAACATTTATAAGCCACATCAAGAAATATACCATTTGACATAATCCTGAAAATAAATCAGTGAAGCACAGAAAGGACTCACAAATATTTAAGTTCTTCACTAAGTTAATGGTGTGGAAAATATTAGAGACAAAAAACAAAAATCGTAAGGAGAAACATCCCTCGTGGCATAACAAAAATCTCTTTGATAATCTGCTCATATGTGCGATAAATGGCAATAAATGTCTATGGGATTGTTTATTGCTCTCCATATACAGATGGAATTGAGATTAATACTTAATTAAACTAGAGCTCTTGGGCTGTCTAAAATGGATCAGGACACAGTATGTGTATTAATTACCCTAACTGCCTCTTAGTAACTCAGCAGGATCTTGTCACCACTGACCCTACCATAAGAAGAAAACCTTGTGTCTCTAAAAATGAAGCAAGAAAGGGGCACCACTAATGTGACCAGATCAGAATACAGACTTAACTGAAAAGAAAACTAACAAAAAACCCTGGTATAATATAAAGACTGAAAGAAATGCACTGCTTTCAGTTTTTAAGCAGTCTTCTTAAAGTACTTCTCTCACCAGACTGACTGGGGGGGTCAGACAGGAAGTACCGGCTAATTCTTAAGTAGTGATGCTATGTATGAGTTTACATGTTTTCAGAGATATAGATTTTATATACCCAGATATGGCTGTGTGTATGCATATATACGCCCAAAAGTCAGGTGTTTCTGCACCCAGAAGGGAGGCAGAAGGTCTATATAAACATTTTCCTTTACTTTATAAAGTCTCCTTCTCTATAGCTCTAAAATAACTCCAGGTCACTTGATAGGTTTTCTTGATGGAGTATCTAAATGAAAAACAATTTTGGCTGCACATTATACCCACCACTAAAGGAGCAGTGAACTGAAAACTCAAGTCCCTAATGACACCTATTTGGCCTAAGATAAATGTGAAAAATATATTACTCAGGTGTGTAAAAATACAACAAGAGAGTTTTCTTGAATTACTCACCCATAGGCTCCATTGCTAATCAATTTAATCGTTTCAAAATCACTTTCCCGAGGTTTCCTTTGAAGTTTCAGGGAAGCATTAGAGCTCTTGGAAACAAAATATGGAAGTTAGAAAATAGTTGGGAATTCAAGAAAATGATTTTAATAGCAACACAAATGACATTTGCATTCTATGCTCTGGCGTTGGATCTGCTGAAGGGCAGTATTCGAGCCAAAGGAAGCCGGCACCCAGCTTTAAAGATCAATTCTGCAGAGCAGCGCTGGTAGACTGCCTCTCAGGACGGCGCCTCAGTCTCGTTTAAGTGAACCCCCATTTCTGGGAGATGAAGGTACCAAGCTTTTGAAAATTTCCAATTTGGGGGCACCTGGGTGGCTCAGTCGGTTGGGCATCTGCTCTGGTCATGATCTCAGGGTCCTGGGATCAAGCCCCATGTCGGGCTCCCTGCTCCGTGGGGAGTCTGCTTCTCCCACCCTCCCTGCTCATTCTCTCTCTCAAATAAATAAATAAGATCTTTAAAAAAAAAAAAAAAAAGTTGAGCTCAAAGTATAATAATAAGTAAAAATTTCTTTTTAAATATTCTCTCATAGTCCACATATCTTAGCACCGAGAGGGTGAGCACTGACAGCCTCTTTGTTTCCGCTGCAGAGCCTTCCTATAATTGTGGAAGAAACCCCACGAGTCTGAGGTATGTGCCACCCTCCCCCACTGGATGCTGTCATCTACTGATGTGCTGTTTCATTTATCTTAGGAAGACCTGGGTACCCAGTTTCCCACCTTCCTCTCTGCTCGTGTTCTCTCACCACCCTGGGTGACTTCAGTGTCCGTGCAGGTAACTCACCCTACACTCTGGCCTCTGGCCTCGTACAACTTGAGTTGCTTAACCAAACAACTCTTCCTCTCTTCTATTTCCTCTTGCCCTCTGGCCACAGGCCCTGGGTCTAGTCATCACTGCTGATGCCCCATCTCAGAAGACATAACTGAAGACTGGGACCACTCACCTGTTCCACCATTCCACTCTGATGGGTCCCCCCACAGCTTTGGGCTCAAAGATCCTGTTCAAGGCCCACCTGTCTCAATGCCTCCCCACCCAGGTGACCTCATTCATGCCCACGGATGACTGCTACATCATTCAGAACTCCACCGAAAACCCTCCGAGTGCCAGGAGATCCCACGCCATGTATACGGATGCTAGTGTGATGGCTTTTCTTGAATGTCCCCCCAAAACTTAAGTCTACACTCATTCAAAATTATAATAATTACGATAAAATTAACAAAACAGCTATCATTTATTTAGCATGTAGTAGTATTGCTGATCTAACCATTTCACATAAATTATCTCATTTAATATTTTGTCATCTTTTATATTTACTTTACAGAAGAGGAAACCGAGGCACAGAGAAGATTCCTACAGCTACCAAGAGATGCAGCCAGCTTTCAAATCCAGGCCATGATCTCACTCCAGAGCATGGGTTCTTAGCCCCCAGGCTACACAGTGCCTCTATTTCCTGACCACTGGCAACTCGCTCCAGCCTTGTTCCCCTTTTGGCGTTCACAATTAGGGACAATGGCACCAGCATCCCAGAACTCTCACTTGTGCGACTGCAGAGCCTCCTGAGAGGCTTTCCCATGGTCGCTCCTGCCTGCCCCCCTCACCCCATCTGTGTTCTATACCGCCATCCTAAGATTGTTTTTAAGCCATAACTCTGACCGGGTCATCTTCCTGTCCACCTGTATCCATGCCACAAACACATACATTTCTTCCCAAGTTTAATAGCTTCCCACCATTCTTTGAAAGAGAAGATTTAACAAAGAAGAACAATAAGGACCTCTATGTCTGGTTTTTGCCCCAGCTCTCCAGTCTCTATGGTCTCCTTGCCCTTACCCTCAGATGCACTCTGCTCCCTTGTCGCACAGTCTTTGTCCAGGATGTTCCCTGGGCCTGGAATGCTCCCTCTGCCCCTTTCTCATCCTAGTAACTTCTCATACCACAGCTCCTGGGCCATTTCTTCAGGAGATCTTTTTGGACTGGCAAGACTAATAAGGTCACTCTCAGGGTGCCTGGGTGGCTCAGTCATTAGGCGTCTGCCTTCGGCTCAGGTCATGATCCCAGGGTCCTGGGATCGAGCCCCGCATCAGGCTCTCTGCTCCGCGGGAAGCCTGCTTCTCCCTCTCCCACTCCCCCTGCTTGTGTTCCTGCTCTTGCTATCTCTGTCAAATAAATAAATAAAATCTTAAAAAAAAAAAAAAAGACTAAGGTCACTCCCTATTAATGTTATGTTTTAGTAGCACATGGCCCTTTTTCTTCGTACATCTTATTCAAGTTTATCATTTTTATTTCTTGTGCATGGTTTCTTTTTATTAATTACTTTCTCTTTGAAAAGAGGAGCTAAAATTGTATGCTGCCTTGCACGATATATGTTTATGGAAGAAATAAAATGATTGACACACTCCAAATCTCCAGACGCTGATAAATGGAAAAACCAACACCATATTTCATCAAGAAAGATACTTACACTCACTGATTCATCTGTTTCTGGTGTTTCTGCTGTCCCACTATCATAGTTTCCCAACTGAGCCATTTCTAAATTTAAAAAAAAAGGAAGAAAGAAAAATTGAACAATTTCAACTAGACAAGAAGTAACTTCTTCAATATTTAAAAGAAAAAGTTTACACTTCAATGTACCCATGGGAAAATCTTAAATCAAAAACGGCAAGACCCAATAATTGACGTTCTTGAAATTGTTCAGGACATGCCCTTCCCTGGAACCCCATTTCTCATGAACACTTAGACACAGGTACTTCAGAGCTGGGCCTCTGCTTCATCTAGCAGGACTGACTGGCCAGCACAATCTAAGGGTTGGGGGGCGGGGGTGTGTGTGTTATCAATGGCTGTGCTTATAATTGAGTTCTCAAGAGAGGCAAGTCTTCCCAGGCTCTGACAGGCATCAAAAATGCACTGACTCCAGCTCAGAGATGATTCTCAACTTGAGGTTGAGTATTCCTCACTCCATTCCTTCACAGCCACTGAGTGATATCCCCTGCCTAGTACACAAAGAATTTGCAATTTGTCACAAAGGAAGTAGTAGTTGTTACGGGGCTGGACAATGAAAAGACTTGGCACACCACTATGATCAGCACTTACTAGGGACCTTTCACCCTCAGGCTCTCCATCGTAAGGTGGGAAGAATGTATTCATCTTTGAGAGTTTCTTGTAAGTATGACATAGGATATTCATGTAAGGCTCTTAGTGTGTTGACTAACAAAAATGAAGTGTTCACTGAATACTGATGGTTATTTATGATTCTTAGTTACATCCTGTAAAGAAGTCAATCCTGGGCTGGATGCCACATGCCTGACACCAGCTTAAGTACTAACCTGGTGGTCTAGTTAAAAGAGACAAAAGCAAAATAAAAAAAAAAAAAGAAAAAAGAAAAAAGCATTTAATTGCTCAGTCTACAATGGAATGCATCTCTGAGTCTATATAAGTAAATGAAGAAACCTAATTCATTTTATTGTTCATTTTAATTTTTATATTTAAAGAAAAAAAGATGTTTAATTAAAAAAAAGAACATGAAGGAATTCTCTCTAAAACTCTGATAGGTAGCTACCTCTGAGTGTTAAGATCATAGGTACTTTACATTTTCTAATTTTTCAAAATTGAACATGTATACTCAGTTATATATACACATAACTTATGCATAAGTTATAGTTTTTAGTTACCTATTTTTGTATGCATCTAAAAGTAGTCCTTAGACTCTCATTTCACGTATTCATATTCTTATAAATATCATCATCCTTTTCGGGAGAGATTACACATAAAAGCTATGAAGCAAAACAAAACTGGAGTGTTGTCTTTAGATAAAAGCTAACAAACTCCAGAATCTAGAATAACTGATGATACTAACTTTCCTAGTTTACCAGTAGGGGAAATTCAAGAATAAAAATGAGCTCAGTACAAACCAGGTGCTTTCTTAGTGTCGTTCAAGTGATGTCAACATCCTATATGACGAGCACTTTAGATTGGGGGACTGGGAGGTGAGCGAAAATGTATTCAGTCTCAGGGACTCTCAAGGATAGGACTGATTTTAATATTGTTTAAATAAAAAAGCAACAGTACCTAACACTTATTACGCATTACTGCATCTTGGGGGGAGAGATGAACTCATATAATCCTAAAAACAACTCTATGAATAGGTACCATTTCCTTGGTTTTATGGAAAGAACACTGAGGCACAAAGAGGCTCATCAAAATAGCACAGGACTGGTGCCAGAGTGCAGACCTGAGCTTTTCCACTCTACACCCGCACTCCCAACCTTCAAAGGTCAGGCCGTAGGTCTGTTATAGTGTAGATGTTGACAAGAAGGGGTAACAAATGTAGATCAGAGTCCTTAATAATGGCATGTTAAGTGGTAACAAATAGATTAAAAATCATCCTCAGATCTGAATCAAGAAAATGAAGTGTCAAGAGTTAAAAAACACAACTCCCAGGGATGAATTTGTGTTACTAAACTCAACACTTGTCCAAGGTCACTATTAAGATTTTTTTAGAGTCTCTATAACGGTACATAGATGGGCCTCAGATGATTCATCTACCAAAGTTCAGCCCACAGTGATCTTTACTGCCAGGTTAAGAACACTGTGAAGACCTCACTCACTGTACAGTTCAAGGGCTGAAACAACCTCAACTCCACCAGCGTGAACAGTCACTCTAATACACTTTGACAGCCTCCCCACTCCAATTATTTTCATAAAAAAAACAAATTAAAAGATGGTTCTGTTTTAAATAGGATTTCTGCTAAATAACTATTATCTGGGAAATACATATTATTTGCAAGCAGTGAGTAGTAATGGAATGGAACCAGGAGTCAGCTTTTGAAGCAGGAAGCTAAGGCATCGTTTTGCAATGCCTGAAGAGATTTTTAAAACTCATCTAAATACCATTAAACATCTGCCCTTTTTATTTCATTGATTTAAACCATTTCTGAAGACTCATGATTCAAAAAGGTAAAGATGGTAATTTAAAAGCCATGGGGAAAAATCTCTCCCCAGGGAACTTTTCAGAAAAGCAGCCACCGGTCTCTGATAAGTGATGAATCTGATGTGGTATTGCTTTCAGGACAGTATAAATTTATCTGGCATTATCTCCCCGGAATGCATGCATCATTTCACTGGAAGCAAAGATCCGATGGCTGTAAGAGCAAACAAAGCGGCGGAAACAGGAGAGCAGGGCAGAGAGCAGCAGGTTCCCTGGCTTTAGATGGGAAAATATCTGTGCCAACAGTTACCATCATTACAAACAATTTAGCAAGATAAACGCTGTTTGCAAATTCAATTTAATGAACCACGAAGAGGATTTTGAATGAAGGAGTCTCTGATTGTTTTTGACTCTTTTTAGGCAGTATGTAACTTCAGTGTTTTAAAGGACAATCCAAACAATAACGAGCAGGAAAAGGTTGGGGACAGGGGAGTAGTTTACCGATATTAGATTTAAAAAAAAAACAAAAAACACTAACAAGGTGCTTAGTCTTTGGTGTATTTAATAACATTAGACCTGTAAGCTTTCAAAAACATTTCCCCCCCACTGGCCTTCCTGTATATTATCATTTTTCATAATTTTTTGGTTACATGCAAAAATATGCCTACCAACACTGTGCCTGATCTAAATCTATCCTCAGTTGCATTCCTCCGCAATTACTTTAAATGTCACTTTTAAATTACTTATAATTAATTTCTTTGGCAACATCTTCAAAATTAAAAGGACACTTGAGAAGAACCCTACTGAGCTTCGCAAGAGAAAAAATACTCAGAGAAGGCAGAAATCTAAACCCTTTCAGGACACTGTGGCATTGTCAGGCAGACAGGCCTCTGGGATTTCAAGGCCTATCCCCACGCTCTAGGTACAACACAAAATGGGTCAGGTTCACCTGCTCTTTGGGACTCAACTTAGTGAGTTGTGAACCCCATAGTTAAGCGTTGCTTTTCTCTTCAAAGCACAATTGGCCCCAAAATTTGTACTTTTCAACAGACAGAGCCAAATCATGTGGAAAAAGTAAAGACTTGCTAAGTTCCTGTCTGAAGTCACAGTGCAGAATCAAATGAAAGGTCAGCCCAACTAAGGTACGTACCTTCCAAAGGATCCTTATTGAGCCCCAGCTGGCTAATGATGTACCTGGGAATGTCAGTTTTAATACCCTGTCCTTCTTTTGCATGGCCTTCTGCTGCTTCCAATAGGTAGTAAAATTCTTCAGGATCAAATTCCTAGCAGAAGACAAACACAGATGTATACTTATTTGAGCCAAAATTCTCTGAGGTTTTATTACATAAATTCCTCTCACAATAAAATTTGCTGGGTATACATGGTTGTCGGTTATTTATGCAGAAAGGAAGCAAACGACTTTTAAAAAGTATGTAATTCTTAGTTCATATTTGAAGCCTTTCATATTCTAAGACAATACACGTATGTCCTTGGTAACTCATATAGTGACCACTTCCAATTTCCTTGTAATGCAACTTTGAAGATATCCTATTGCTATCTTATTGAAAATGAGTATGTCTAAAATTCAATTATGCCTTTTTAGTAAAATTTTTAAATCTGAAATCTCATCCAGAAGATTCAGTTTCTCTCTTTGCATAAACAGCCGCAAAAGGAGTAATGTTAGAATATATATTCTCAATGGTTTTGCAGGAAACTCCATTAGTAGGGGTGCAAAAATATTTTTTAAAAATAAAAAAACTTTTTATCAGTACATTCTAAAATTAAGATTCATGTAATGTGAAGATGAAGAAAGACAAAATTACAAAATTAATTCTTTCTATTACCTGTGTCTATTTTTAAAATTTGGTAGCACATTTTGCCTATGCATTTTACTCTCTTCGGTTACTACTTCTAGGATGTAATAAAAATCTTTAGGAGCCCATCACTCTAAATGGATGCCATGGGTTTATTTGTTGTATACAATTACGTTTGCAGATTTAAACCACAGAGGCTATTTTCAGTTATATTTCCTAGATTTTATCCCCTCAGGATGTTTCCCATTTTGATTAATACCCCAACTAGGCAACTTTAGGATATCAGCATTTCACCTGAGAATTACTCAAGGGTTTTTTTTTTTTTTAATTTTATTATGTTCTGTTAATCACCATACATTACATCATTAGTTTTTGATGTAGTGTTCCATGATTCATTGTTTGCGTATAACACCCAGTGCTCCATGCAGAACATGCCCTCTTTAATACCCATCACCAGGCTACCACATCCCCCCACCCCCCTCCCCTCTAGAACCCTCAGTTTGTTCCTCAGAGTCCACAGTCTCTCATGGTTCGTCTCCCCCTCCGATTTCCCCCCCTTCATTTTTCCCTTCCTAAGGGTTTCCAAAGGCTATGTAAAAAAAGCTTGCTTCAAATGGAGGAAAGCCAAAACCAACGTATACACTGAGCGCCCTTTCTAGAAACCTACAATGACACAGAGCACAGGCCTGAAACAGCAGGCCTGACACCACTAGTTGGAAAACAACCCCTAAAACCCTGAAGCTCCAATTTCATCTGAGCTTTAAATAGTGCTGAAAACAGCAACACTTTCAATTCTGCTCTTAAGTTCACCTGTCTGTATCCTTGAGAGGCTATACTTTTACTTTTTCTCTTCTGGTGAGGAGGGATTACTGAAAAAATTAATTTCCTCTTTTAAGGCAAGATTCTATTAGCATATCTGCTGCTGTCCAGAGAAATAAGTTTTAATGCTAAATGTTATTTTTTCCCCAAATTAAACAAATGCAGGAAGTACAAGCATGTGGTGCATAATTCAAAAAATACAATGGGAGACGCAGGACAGAATCAGACTTCCTTCTGCCTGCATTTGCCAGGTTCTCCCAGAGGCATCCAGAGTATTTTTCCCCCTTATCCTTCCAGAGACAATGCCAAATGGTGCTTTTGATTCTGTGCTTCTAAGGGTCCTGGCCACTGATGGAAACACCGACTCCACCACGCCCCTCCTTGTCGCCTCAAGATTTCCCCTCTCCTGTGACTCACTATGCATTGGTATATATTTATGGGGCTGTGAACACTTCACTATTACAAAAAGCTATGAATGTTAATTGAAATAAGGGCAAAGCCCTAGCAATACCGCCCTATATGTATACGTGTGAATGTATAATTCTGAAAAGCTGTACCGCACGTAGTGTGACCAATACTTTAATGGCTGGCAGAACTTGGAAGTGAGTGTTGATACTATGTTAAGCCCCTTAAAACTATTCTTACATTCAAAGCTAGGTATTTGTTCACAGTATGGACTGAAATGTCAACCCAAGTTACATCAACAAAAATTTTAAAATAGGAAAATGACCAAGGACAATATAATTGACAAAATGAACTCACCTCTGGAGGTCTCACTTCTTCCGGTCTATATGGGACCCTACTATATTCTCCCAAGTGGGTTGCCACTGAGCATCTCTTTCTAACATGCCATATTTTAAGAACAAATACTAGTAACTGCAGGTTATGAGAAAACCTATCTCTGATTTCCCTCTCTCTGCATCTTGCCAACTCCAAAAAAGTGAGGCCCAGCAAGTGTTTTAAATGAGCTGTCACACAGTAATGGTGTTGAGATAAGGTTAAGCCCATTAGTTCATGATGATCTTTCCAGTTTGACCAGAATGTGATATGATTATCACTCAGTACAGCATAAGTCCTAGAGTTTTTACTTAAACCAGACAACAAAATCACATGGGGATGTGCTCATAAACATTCATAAGCTGTAGTTCCTGTTGACTCTTTCTATTTAACTCTGGTCTTTGAAGCCAAATGGAAACTGGAGGTTTCTGATGGTCACTGCTTTCCCACAGTTAACAATAAATAATGGAGTCCCCTCTAGGGGCAACTTACCAGGCACTCCAATAACCGAGCTGGGCGGGCAATAACAATTAGGATCTTTCGAACTAGTTGTTTAATAAATGCCAATTCTCCACTTTCTGAACGATCATGAGCCTATGAGAAAGCAATGAAAAGAAAGGTGAATAGGATTGATCTATTAAATGGAAGAGAAAATCAGCAAAGTACGCTAACTAGATAACTGCAAGTATTTGAAAATTAAGTGATTTAGAAAATACTTTTCAAATCAAAAACTAATGATGTAATGTATGGTGGTTAACATAACAATAAAAAAATTATTAAAAAAAAAAGAAAATACTTTTCAAAGATTGATAAGCAAACATTATCACTTCACATATGGACACCATTAAACTTCTTTATCTACAAAATGGCTCCATTAGCTAAACTTCAATTGTAAAACTTTGATTTATTCTGTGTTAAAAATCAAACGTTAAAACTCTCAATGTGAACCATGAATGATGGAGAGATTAACAGATTATGACACATTAAGCACATGGTACAAGTGGAGTGGGTGGCTGATAAGGAATCTTCATTTGCCGGATGTCGCAGAATGAAGTATGAAATGGCTAACATAGTGAAGGGCTGCTTTTGTTATCCTGGGCATTTAACACATTTATGAAATAGATTTTACATGTGCACCACAATTAGCCCTATCAATTCGCTATTTTATAACATGTAAGAAGTGTGCATTGCTTATTTCAAATGTTAGGGGATAATGTTTATACTCGGACATATACATAAAAATTTGGTTTCATATATTGAATAAGTAATACCTATGCACTCAACTCAGTAAAATTTAACTGACTTCCCTCTTTTTAAATTTTGTTATATGTTGCCTAATCAAGCACAAAAAATATCCTGAGAATAAAACTCAGTTTGAGTCATTTTAATTTTCAATGATATTTTCTTGAAGAAATGAGGTAAATCTGTAACAAGGCAGACATAAAACCAAAGTTGTAAAAGTTTAAACATGTAAACTTCTATGCATGCTCACTTTAAGGCTGTCATAATTTTTAAATTGTCGTAACAATTTAAATTTACCTTCCTCTAAGGATTAAAAAGCATATCAAGAAGATGCTGGTACAATAGAATATAATTTCACAGACATACTAATAAACATTTAAAATCAGTCTTGAAGGTGCTTTATTCTAAGAACCAGCCCTCTCATGAAAAAGTGGCAGACCACATCTGTGAAAAATGATTAAACTTAGTAGTAACAGGTCTACTGATTTTAAGCCATCAAATCACAGGCAACTTTCCACAACGTAGGTACAGGAACATATACAGGCAAAAGCAAAGCAGCTAACATTTCAAAGAAAGAAACACAGGGGAAAAGTCCACTAGTGAGTAATTGTGGAACCGAATGTGCTCAAAGAAAACCAACTTGTAACAACTATAGGTCCTAGCAAGCAGCTGGGACGCTAGAACATGTATAAGGAGATACACATAATATTCTTTAAGTTTTCTTTCCAATTTTTGTTTTACACCAAGGAGAGACTTTGGAAGATATAATGAATGCCAAGAAGTATGGTTATATATCTTCTTTGTAGCTTATTCTTAATCAAAACTAAAGGGGAAATCTTAAAGATAAAGCAAAAAAAGCCACCTAACTTCCTGATTGACAATTTGGGTTACATACAGAATGTCCTCTTACTGTAGTAATTACTACTTTATAAATTCAAGAATATAAAGAAAATCTAAAAAGCCTGAATGTGTTTTACTGAACTCTTCAAAGAGAAACAAGAGCTCTGTATCTTAAAAAATCTTTGGTCAGTTTAGATTATACAAATTCCATTTGAAAAATTGTAAAAATAATCAGTTCATTCCTACTTCTTACTTCTAAGAATAATCAGCTGTAACTAAGGCCAAAACATACAATGGGTAATGTTAACTCAAATAACATTTTATCTACTAACACTATTGGGGAGAGAGTTTTGTTAAGACAACACCAAACAAAATCACACAGTTAGCATGAGAAGAGATTGTTTCCAGGCTGCCAACAGCAAGCGCCAACACTAATGGATACCCTGTGTTTGTATTTTAAGTGTTGGCTGCTATAAAAAATGCTGAGACCCATATTTGAGTAGGTTATAGCTTCCTATGTATAGTATTTTCTTTGGCAAATACACCTAAGTGAGAAAACAAATGGAGACAGAAACGCATTCATCTGGAATTGACCTAGACCTCAGGACTTTAAAAAGGCATCAGTTAAATCAAGCCTATCAAAGCCACAGGGGGACCCTGCCTGGGTCCGCAAAAAAAATCGACAACGGGGGACATGGCCAGGAGATACCCGACAGGCACACAATGTCACAGCTGGGCAGTGACAACAATTGCGTCCTGGGGAAGGCAAAGGCAATTCCCACAACAAGGGCTCCATCTAAAAGGCACAAGTCCCCCTGTGACCGTTCAGCTCCAAACTCTGGAAGGACACTGTTAATGTGATTCTGAAGATTGTTTTAATTTTCCCACAAGGACTGACTGAAGGAAATGTTTACCTGTGAAGATAAATAAGAAAACATTCCTATTCATACCCCAAAATGCTCTTCATACCACAAGTATACATGCTTCTCTGCCGAAAAGATAAATTTTCCTAAAAACCAACTTTATTATTTAAGTTTTTTGAGAAAGAGAGAGAGAGAGAGAGAGCATGCAAGGGGTAGGGAGAGGGAGAAAGAATCTTAAGCAGGTTCCCTGCCTGCTTGGAGCCCAGCATGGAGCCCAACACAGTGCTCCATCTCATGACCCTGAGATCATGACCTGAGCTGAAATCAAGAGTTGGACACTTAACCAACTGAGCCAGCCAGGCAACCTCAAAATCACCAATTTTTATCTATTATATGGTACATTCACATGATTTTTGAAACCTAAGTTTTGTTTTTTTTTTAATAACTGCCATGAAATAATCTGCCAGGCTTGTTAGAAATAAAATTCAGCGTGTGTGTGGGGAGGAGGGGATTTTTTTAAAAGATTTTATTTATTTATTTTAGAGATAGAGAGAGAATGAGCAGGAGGGAGGAGCAGAGGGAGACAGACAAGCAGACTCCATGCTGAGTGCAGAGCCCGATGTGGGGCTGATCCCACAACCCCAAGAGCATGACATGAGCCAAAATCAATAGTAGGATGCCCAACTGACTGAGCCATCCAGGCGCCCCATTGGGGGCGGATTTCAAAGTAAATAGCTTTGGATATTGATTCTATCCTTTTCAGAGAAAGCCTCTGAAGGAATGAAAAACACAGGACTAAACTAGTAATTATGGTAATACCCTGGGACAGAACTATGGAATTATAGGAGTATCTCACAGAGGCTGACCACAGAGTTACTCTCTTATCTGCTTCTTCTGTTTAAAAATACACCATTTGAGGTGCCTGAGTAGTTCAGTTGGTTAAGCATCTGCCTTCAGCTCAGGTCATGATCTGAGGGTCCTGGGATCGAGCCCCACGTCGGGCTCCCTGCTCAGCGGGGAGTCTGCTTCTCCCTCTGTGCCCCCCCCCCACCTCATGCTCTCTTTCTCTCTCTCAAATGAATAAATAAAATCTTTAAAAAATGCACCATTTAACAAATATCATTTTCAAGATATTCTCATAGCAAGTAATATGCATAGTGTTCTAGCATTTTTCGGGAGCTGATTTGATTAAAACGAACAGCAGAAGTGAATTATTTGATGATAAATCAAATATTCTGTTATGCTTATATACATACATACCTTCTTTCTCCCTCCCTCCTTCCCTTCCTTCCATAGTTACTGAGAAAGCAAGTACCATTCAGGGTGATTTGGATGTGATTCTTGTCTTATCAAAGAGCCCTCTCATGCTATTGAAGTGAAACCCCAAAGCAGATCATTACAAGGCATTGTACTCAACAGGCCATGTTAGGGTTTTTGTAGACAGAATGTAGGCAGAATGGAGCCGCTGAAGACTGTTAGATGCTCTTACAGCCTCACAGAAGCAAGAATCTGCCTCGGTGGAAAGATACTTCGTAGCCAGGCAGACACGTGAATTTGAAATCTAGGAGAGAGCTGCTGGTCTGAGATACAAAGGGAAGCTGTTAAGAGTTCATGGGTCTTTAAGATAGCCATCAAGATCCCCAGAGGGGAGGAGCAGTGGACCGCCAATCAAATCATGGGAAAGCTAATTTTTAGAAAACACAAGTTAGAAGAAGAGCCCTTGGAAGAAGCAGAGAAGAAATAGAGGTACTAAGAATATCCTGAAAGGAGGGGGTTAGCAAGAAAGAAAAGGAAAATTTTACTATTGCTAAATATAACAATATTCCAGTCAAATAGGCTGCTCTGGGAAAATGTCCAGTGGATAGGACAATAAGGAAGACAGTAGACTTCAGTGAGTTTAGTGAGAGGACGTCAGAAGCTATTTGACAAGAGTTCTTCTATGTGTTAGACACTATTCTAGATGAACAAAACAGACAAAATCCCTGCCCACACAGCCACTATATCCTATGCTGCAGCCAGTCCCTGAACTATCAGCAGTCTGTGATGACCTGAGTAAAACTAAGTAAGCATTTAGTAGCTCTTATATTTTTTACATTTCTTATACACCCAAATGCATGATCATTTTCCTATAAATTTATTTTCATTTTAATTTACAGGAGAATTGGTACAAGACAAATTGGAAATGAACAACAAAAAACAAAAACAATGTATTCATCACCCCTAAATACGGTGAGAAACACTGCCTTAATGGACTATGATAAGTGGAGCTATGTAATGGGAACAGAGTACAGAAAACTCTGTTGGGATGTTTGGATGGGAAAGAAAAGAAAAATAGTGGCTGCTGGTCAGACAGAAATCATCTCATCTCGCCAGAACTAAGTTCAGTAGGGGCAGAGACATATGAATTTCCAGAAAACTAGGACGCTAATATTTTCCTTCAGGTCCACGCAATTATTTACATATTCATGCTGAGAGAAAACCACATACAATCATGCTGACACGGGCATAACTTCTGCCCTATGAGGTGGAGAAATACAATATATCCAAATATATAGGCTAAATAGGTTTTACTTATAGGCTGTGGCTGATCTATTTCAGTCACAAGAGCAATATATGCACTAAATGCATTCTACCATACACCTTCCTTCCTGTCCTGGGTGTTATCAGGGGCTAAGCATTCAAGTGTTAGGCTCAGGCAGGTCCTGTGTTTATCTTTCTTTTGGAAATTGGATATTTTGTTAGAAGAGGAACTGACACTAATGAAAATATAAGTTACCATTTACTACCCACTGCCATGTACAGGTTAATTAATACGACACAGGCCTGGAAGAAGCCAGCCATTTTCCATTTAGCTTTTCCAGATATTAGGACTAGATAGCATCATCAAATAACACACATGCACTCAGGCAATTTATAACTTTATCGTTGGGGTTAGGGGGAAAATCACTGCCTCAAAATCCTTCACAATCCACTTATCCCAGAGCCATAGATCGTTGGGTCCCGAGGTTCCTGTAAAGGTTATTACATTAACTTCCTATTACTATAAATGATGACAACAATCAATTTATAGAAAGTAGCAATCAGGTTTTTCTTCTTCTTTGCTTCCCTGGAATATGAACTCTATCTCATGGTTAAAAACGTGTAAGCAAGCACACTCGTTTGCTTTTTTGGGGGGAAAAGGAAAACAAATCAGAAAACTTTATATAGTATGTGGTTCATACCTCTTGTAGCAATTTATCTAATTTGTGCTGTAATTCAAGGAAGTATCGTGAGGTGATGAGACCCTGGTGGGATTTATCCAAGCAATCTCGAGCCAGTTCAATAATCTGATGGTGAGTGAAACTAAGCACTCCATCTGCTAGAGGAAGAACGTGGTCAGGGGAGTAGCTGGTGATAATTTCCTTCAGACGTTCTTCCATCTGAGCCGTAGCCTATTTAGAGAAGACATGCACACACAGATGAAATATGACAAAACACACATGTGGACAGTTATCACATTTATCTGGCATTTTCAGAGACCTCCACAAATTATGAAATAGAATTCTCAAAACTAATGTATACACAATGTCATTACATAGTTGTGAAAACCCACAGAATTGTACACCACCAGGCGTGAACCTTAAATGTTAACTATGGACTTTGGGTGATTATGATGTGTCAAAGGCAGGCTCATCGATCATTAACAAGTGGACCACTCTGGTGGGGGATGTTCATGCGGGGAGGGTGTGTGGGTGGGTGTGCTGGTATGTGGGGGGGGGTAAGCTGGGGAGGGCATGGTCAGGGGGTATATGGGAATTCTCGGTACTTTCAGTTCAATTTTGTTGAACCTAAAACTGCTCTAAAAAATAAAGTCTGCTTTTTCTTTTTTTTTAAAGATTTATTTATTTATTTGAGAGAGCGAGAATGAGAGAGAGAGAGAGTATATGAGAGGGGGGAGAGTTAGAGGGAGAAGCAGGCTCCTCGCTGAGCAGGGAGCCCGATGCGGGACTCGATCCCGGGACTCCAGGAACATGACCTGAGCCGAAGGCAGTCGCTTAACCAACTGAGCCACCCAGGCGCCCCAAAGTCTCCTTTTTAAAAAAATGTTTTATTTAAATTCAATTTAATTAACATATACTGTATTGTTACTTTCTGAGGTAGAATTTAGTGATTCATCAGTTGCATACAACACCCGGGGCTCATTTAAAGTCTATTTTTTTAAAGCACCAATAGCAGTCGTCTTATCACGTGAAAGATCTGATGTATATAAGGGAAACTGACTATCTGAGGATGATGTTTATTTTTTTCTATCCTCTCAAATAATAAAATGTTCTACGGAAGCTTCTTCAAATAAGTCGAACGATACTGTGCATTGTTATGCTTTCGTTTTAGATCTTGGGCTCTCACTTTCAGATGGATGCTCAAAAATATCAAGTTACATTTTTACCTACTCAAAACTCAGAACTGTTGCTGGAATTCCACAGGGTGGGCCAAGAGTTGTTTTGTTCAGGAGGTTTTAATGTACCAGGAACATCCTCATCCTTCTCTCACAAAGCTACCTCTTGAGCAAAAGGCCAAGGAGAGTCTTTGGATACATGCATCAAAAGCTCCCTTCCCAACTCTGATTTCATTCTCTGTGATGCCCTAGTGCCTACTCAGCACCCCCTGTGTATTTTAACTGTCTTTGCAGGGGGGTGCCCTCTGCCCCTGCTTCTCTCTAAAATCCTAACCAGCACTGACTATGTAGACTCAGGACCTATTTCCCTGGTGAACAAGGGACATGTAATTAATAGCTAAGACGGCTTTAATCAATGACATCAATGTTGGGTTCATTACAAATAATAAGTACTCTGCTAGTGATTTATGAACCCAGAGAGGTTTCCTTTCGTTTTCTTGCCTAGGGCTACACAAGTAGCTGGGGAGGACCAAGAACACAATGGAAAGGTTGTCTTCTCCTGTGTAGAACACTAGGGGAAAGGCCTCGGAAACCAGGGGATGAGAAGCGTCAAAGAGCAGGTTTTTGCAGCCAGGGTGTCTGTCAATAACTCTTTAGCAAGTCCTCTCGGGCTCAGTGTGAATTCCCTTTGCCGGTCTACTGGGGAACACTGCAACTCTCCCTTCCCTTCTACATTAATAGGGTTAGACATATAATTGCTGAAGACATAGGAAGTCACAGAAAAGAAAAAATGAGGGTTTTTTTTAAGAAAAAAAGACGTTCATCACATCCCACTCTACAGGCTTCTAAGGAAGAAAAAGGTTGCTGCCTGACCATACAGCAGCAGGCCCGGACCATGGGCAGAGCAGCATGTAGGTGTAGAGGCCCCCTCGCCCTGCGGCCCCTCATCACGCCCACCCCGTGGGCCGGGCAACCAGCAGGACTCGCTTTGGAGGCACTTTTAGCACAGACAGTGTGGCTAGCTGTCAGCCGTTTTAAAAAAATGTTTAGTGATTTCACCTTTCTTAGAAGCTGTGGTGCTGTTTTATACGAGTCTAACTCATTACTACTGGATTGGACCATTCCTTCCCCTAACAAACCACCTTACAGACACTACACCCACGTTACCTGTTCGTTTAGATGCTAGGCATCTTCAATTCAATTCATTACCTTTGGGAACCTTTCTTTGTAGACATGGTTCATCATAATTATTTCATGGTCACAGCAGGCGGGAGAACGTCCAGGACTGCAAGCAAAGCAAATTACCCTTTTAAACTTGCCTCAGCATGAAATGAAAATAAGCTTTTTATTTATAAACAATTGGTTGGATCAAAAGTACTATACAACCTTTGCAAGAAAAGTATATTAGGTAATAAACTACAAAATCAGTCATTAGTACGTACATAAATACCCACAAACAGTGACACCCTGAATAGCATTCAAAAAGGAAGCTCTAGAAATGGAACGCCATGAAATAATTAGAACTACAATATAAAACGAATTCAGAAACGTTCTTAAATTGAGATTATATTCTGTAGGTAGAATGCATTTCTGTAGTTCTGGAAACCAATTAATGAGTTGCAATATAAAACAAAATAGGATCGTTACAAACAGCCACATCTAGGACACACTGAACAGTATAATTTCACACTTTTATCCTACACCTGCGCTCTGCCACGTACCACTGAAGAGGGCTGAGAGTCTTCCATGGCACAGGTGTCACCAATGAAATCCATTTTCTAGCCTCACAGAGATCTATCCGGGGTGCTGAGGTAAGCATTACGTACAATATGAAACAGAGGCATGTAAGTGTTGTGTGCTTTTCTTTCTTTCAATAGTAGGTTCGTCTTTCTTCTCAGTATTATGGAGTGGTGCAACTTCAGTGTATGTTTACATTTCTGGGAGAATACAGCCTGTACTAGATATCCAAGGAACTCCTTTCATAAAACCATAAAATGGGCACCCATGTGGTAAAATACAATGCCCCTAAATGAATTCATAAAATCGACCTTTTATTCCCTAACTCAAAATAATAACACATTCCCGAATTATTCAATGTGGCTACATTTACTACCAGTTTATTATACTAAATAAAAAAGGTACAAAGAGGGGGGCACCTGGCTGGCTCCATCAGTAGAGCACGACACTCTTGGTCTTGGGGTCATGAGTTTGAGCCCCACGTTGGGCGTAGAGTTTACTTTAAAAAAAAAAAAAAGATACAAAGGGGAAAACCTTCCTCAGTAAACTTTGATATTCAACTGAACACCTGACAAACTATTTTTTTAGTAAAATCTTAAACAGGAAAGTACACCAATTCTACAGCATCAAGATTTCATACTGTGGAGATGGACTGCCTTGATCACCCTGCAGAGAATGACCTGCTACCCCCAGGGGAGGGGACTGCAGAAGCCGTCAGCCATCCGTTCCTTCAAAGATGGCCTCAGCTGCAGTCACCTCACCCAGGCCACGTCCTTCCTTGGACACCGTACTCAGTGACTGAGGTAGGGATAAAAAACAAGGGCCATTTGGCACAGAGGGATAACTCTGATGGGTCATGCCATCCCCAGAGCTCCCTGTGGAGGCAGCTGTGTGGCAGCTAGATTTCTTTCTGCCCAAGTCAGCTTGCTTGCCTTCCTTAAATAGGTATAAATCTTGAGCACTCCCTAATAAACATCCTGAACACAAATCTGTTTTAGAGTCTATATCCTAAAAACAAAACAAAAAAACCCCAAAAAACAAACACAAACAAAAAACCTGTAAGACAAATCTATCTCTCTCTATATATATATCTGGCCCTACTCAATGTCAAAATTTAAGGGACACAAACTCCTAACAATTTCATAAGCTTGGAAAAAGTAAAACTCATGAAGGGAAGAAAGAATGAAAAATATGGGTTAACTTTTATAATGTGGAATCTGAATGAAAATCCTTTTATTTTTGCTGACCTTCCTTTTCAGCAAGGCTTACCCCTCTTAGAAAAAGAACACTAAGTGCTCCCGCACCACAACTGGACTGTCTTGAAATTTCCAATGGCAAGAAGGTTTTACAGGAGGTCCCGTTAGTCCATCGTGATTACTGCTACTACCCCAATTAACAAACTGAGAGAAATTAAAAGAAAAACAGTAAGATGCCTTTCAGTGGTAATTAACAATATCATGTAGAGATGGGAAAAACCACACTCTATTTGGGGTAGTTCACAAATCAATTAACGCAGAGATGAATGAGAGGACCAAAAGGCTTCCCTTGAAATGGTTAAAAACAGATGATCCAATTAAGTAACATTTTTCAATCAGGTCCACCTACCTCAGACTTCGGGAGCGGGGGCGCATGGGTGTGTTCCTGCATCTGTTTTCCGCGGCGATGCTTTCGGTAGTACAAAAATGTTTCGACAGGAAGTGCAATTCATCTGGTGTTGGTTGGTACGGTAACTGATGCAGCTTCTCCTGGGAGGAAGAGGAGGACTACAACAAACCACAGGGAGGTTAGGGGACCATCTGAGAAAGAAAGACTTCAAGTGAATTCGCAATCAAAGCAGTGAACCTGGGTGACATCACCATTGTATATTGTTTCCCTTTCATGTTATAATTACAATAATTAGTGTCTAAATGTATATCCTTGCTGCTTTCTCTGTGAGGTCAAAATGCCTTCCATATTGCATCTCATTTGTCTATAAGACCATTCCCCAAAAGATGCTTCCCCTCTTGTAGAAAACCCGGGCTCTGAAAATAGGGAGGACTCGCTCAAAGCCAAGGCAAAAAAGTGACACCTGGACAATCTGGGGGCATGAAATAACAGATTAGTTCTCAACTGAGTATGGTACCCTTGCTTGGACCACTGCTCGCAATCAAACACCGTGACTTTCAGGTGAGTAACATAAAATGAATTTTATGACATGTGATCATAAATAAGGTAATGAGGTCTTCCTTTACAAAGCTTATTGTCCTGTGGCACTTCGATATGTGCCTTAGGTAAAAAGGGGAGGAGAAGAAGATACTTTTCTCACTAATGTCATTGTTTTAAAAATTGGATTTTTTTTCCCCTTTTTTCCTTTGGCTAAGACTCTCTCTTTTTTTTTAAGGCAGCTTCAGTGGTGGTGAGTTTTTTAATTCCTTGCATATAGATTTGCTTTTTGAAAACTGTCACTTAATACTTAGAGCAAGGTAATGCAGAAAAAGTGAACAGCGAAATAACACTGTTTATAATCAATCTGAGAAATAGAACAATAAAGCAAACAGACTTTTAGTTTTTACTGGGAGGTAAACTCTCCAAGCAATTCTAACAGAAGAGACTGAGAAATTTTTGAGCAAGAGAATCATGATTAGACTAAGCATATTTGTAAAGGTAACACTCATCTGAAAATCTCAGTTTTAACAGGTTTTTTTTTTAAAGCTGTCATTAGTTTAACAATAAATGAACTTCATAAACACTGAAGCATCACAATGTAGTAACACTAGAAATTAATGACTAAAGCTTAAAAATACTCTCATACCTTGAAATTATAAAACACCTTATAAGTCCATACTGAGACAAAGAGGAATTTTTATAATGTAATGAGATTGTTTTATAAGCCATAAAAATGAGAACGCTACTAGAAAGACTTACAAGATAAACCAAATCTCTATTCAGAAAGTACAAGCACAGTCTTAAACACTTTTCATTGCGAAAAACAAAAACAAAAACAAATAAAATACAAACTAAGTCAACTCAAGCAATCCGGAAAAGCACAGTAAAATCACTGTAAGCAGGAGAGAAGGAGTGAATGATAAAAGTGAAGATAAGGAAATCAGCTAATAAAAAAACAGAATTAAGAATCTGTATATAGGTCTCCGAGGAAAATCAATGTCCACGGTTCTGTATCCAAGACTTCAAAACCCTAAAACCCCGAAGTTTATTTGTAAGTTTAGAGTAATCCCTTTTGATGGCACAGCATCAACTGAACTGATGGAAAGCTATTTAAAATATGTATTCAATCCACTTAGTGTGAATGTTGATTCAGGCTGTGGTGGAAATATTAATATATTTGATTATGAACTGCTGGCCCAGGTGCTGCTGGGCTGTTGTGTATAGTACAGGGATCCTGTTACCTTTCTAAAATATGAAAATTAATTCCAAAACACACCGGTGTCTAGAGTTTCACGTGAAGTATCATGGGCCTGTACTGGCATGGAAATGACACAATGATACCAAGCGACTTCAGGAGGGTGGGTTCCCTCTGTGGAGGGAAGAAGCAGAAAGGGACTGGGTGGGCAGGGCTTTACTTGTATTTTTAACATTTATTAAACAAAGTAACAATTTATTTTAAAAAACAGTTGTAGCAAATGTAACAAAATTTTGTGGTTATACCATATATGCAGCCACAGAAGGAAACTGCAAAAGGAATGTGCCCCAGGTTTACTGATGGGGAATACGGCAAAAGGAACGATGCAGTGGTGTTAAGAGTTCTAACCTTGATACTACTAAAGAAGCGAGGAGGCAAGGAGCTCCTCCTCTCAGTTGAACAAGCAAGGTACAAGTGGGAGGAGGGTGATACCCTGTCCAAGTGACAAAGAATGGGTTTCTGGCACTGGGGACAACTGTAGGCCAGCAAAATGGCCCCAGGGACTCAAAAGGTACCAAACAGGGCCCCCAAAAGGAGATGATATTGGACAATCAAGAAATCCAAGGTTAGGTTTTAGTAGAGATTAGGGACTCACTCCGTGGAGAACTTTTGAAGCCATTGAGAGCTGCAAGACAGCTCTCAATGGGTGCGGGCTCGCCCCAAGACCGCACACCATATTGCAAAGACACCTCCACTGGCCAAAGCGTCCTGGGAGTACCACTGTGAGGAGAGCTTCAGTAATTTGTTTGGGAGTTTCCCAATAAACTGTGTCTGATTACTTTATATTTCTAGCACATTCTCTAAGTGCGGTGTCAGGTCTCATCACCCAACTGGTCTGCACATGACTTTTGATAGCGTAATAAATCAAAGAGTAGAGTTACATAATAAAGCTGTACAAGGCTTCCCCAACACTGTTCTGAATAATGATGTCATTTAGTCTCTCCAGATAACCATTTTGCAACAGACAATACTCACATGAATGCACAATTTTCTACTCGTTATTAAATGTAGTATCATTTTATAGTCATACCTCACGTATTTATAGGTATTTATATTCTTATATCCATTCCCTCAGCAGAAAATAATCTGTTAAGAAATATGGGGGAATGTCCTCCTACTGCTGCAGTTTCTATTACTTATTTTAAAATGAAAAATTATGACCTCAATATTATCTTGAAAAAGTTCCCCATAGATTAATTTTAACGGCAAAATTTGGAGTTGAAAGAAGTTGAAAAACTAAATATTTTCTGGAAGGACTGATTAACTTCCTATGACCAAATCTTTTCAATTTTGGAATATAGCATTTTTAACACTTGCCAATTTTACAGGTGCCATATACCCAAAGGATAAAGACATGATGTTTACATTTCAGCAGAAGTAGTTCTGCAATTCAGCTAACAACACAATTACCTGTCAAACCTAAGCTGTATTTTCAAAGTGTTTGTAATTTTATGTTCTGTATGTTTACTTTTAAAAAATAACTAAAATGCATTTCTGATTGGCTAAATGACTATCATTTAACCCACAAAATGAAAATCTGAGAGTGCCTCAGAGTTAGAAAAGAAGAAAATGAGGGGTGTCTGGCTGGCTTAGTCAGTGGGACATGGTGACTCTTGATTTCAGGGTCATGAGTTCGAGCTCCACATTGGGCATAGTGATTACTTAAAAATAAAATAAAATATAATACATATTTTAAAAAAAGAAAGAAAAGAAGAAAATGTAACTACTAAGCAGTTTTATGCAAATTTATGCCCCACTATGTAAAGGACAAGAACCCCAAAACACTGAGGGAAATGAAAAGTAGCTTTTCAAATTTTCACTCATTATTTTTATCAATAACCAATAGGGAGAATAGATAACTGAACTTTTTATGTGTGGAGGACCTACACTTCACACCCATAACAGTTCCTTGTGTCTTTTGGCACAAAGTAATTTTGAAAGCAAAAATTTTAGGGGCGCCTGGGTGGCTCAGTCAGTTAAGCATCTGCCTTCGGCTCAGATCGTGATCCCAGGGTCCTGGGATCGAGCCCCGCATCGGGCTCCCTGCTCCGCAGGAAGCCTGCTTCTCCCCCTCCCACTCCCCCTGCTTGTGTTCCCTCTCTCGCTGTGTGTGTCTCTCTCTCTCTCTCCCTCCCTCTCTCCCCCTGTCAAATAAATAAAATCTTTAAAGAAGATTTTATATTGAAGGAAAAAGTAGGAAGATGAGGTCAACAATTATATGTACCACCTTCTTTAAAAAACACTTAAGAGAAAAGCTAAAAGCGATCTTACCTCCAGTTAGCAGCTGTTGGTTAGAAGCCCAGCAAATATGTATGTGTGTGTGACTAAAAATGGTCTCAGGTGGCTTCTTCCTTAGACCCATATGGAAGTCAAGGATGGTGATAATTCCATTGTGACAGATGGCGAGGTCATGTTTATTAATGAAAATATTTATTTTTAGAAATACCATGTAAATTCCTTAAAAAGAGCCAAGAGGCTGGAGTCTAGACCTTACTATATTCTTAGAGAAAGGAGGGTGTTGGTCAAAGCACTGAGGGGCTTCTGATAAATAAAAATGGAGAGAACAGTAGCAATTGCACGACATGGTGTATTGCTAGGATTAAACAAAGACTACAATGCACTGGAAGTAGTCAGGCTAATGTCTAGCACATAATAAATATTTCTACAACAACTGGTTTTTAAAATTTATTTGTACCAAATGAGGTCTGATTCTAGGTAACTCACTCTTTTTGAAGAGATTGGCTTTTTAAAATCGTGTATGATTTACTAGTTAGAGATGCAAGGATCTTGTACTCTCCCCTATTTTTCTTGCAAGAGTCAAATTACTGTAACCAAACTGTAATAAAACTTGACTGAAGGGCAAAGCAAGGTCATAGAGATGAAACGAACAAGAATCTGGAGACAAGAGACTTCCCCGAAAGTCTGTAGAAGAATAATACTTAAATTTCAGAAAGTTACCCTTGCTCTTCTTTTTGGTCAATCAGTTTCAGCATTCATTTTCACACTGGAGTTACCCATGTTCTCAGCATCTAAAATCGATCAATGACCAGTGATGATCAATGACCAGTGATGGTTCTGGACACAGCAGCCCAGGGTGGCGTAACTGTTTTTTAGTGACAGTTTTATCCACTGAAGCCCATTCAGGAGTTTGAAGCATCCTCTCCAGTGTGAGGCTTCTACGTTACTGAAATGACTCAAGACTGTCAGGACGTCTCACCAAAATTATCAAAATAAACTCACATACCACAACCAAATGGAATAGAGGATAGGCAAATAAATTACCTCTCCCCAATAAAATACCAGGGAGATGGTAAAAATAATCCAACAAATTTTAACAAGGCAGTATTAGAGGTGCTCCAGAAAACACGTTATATTGCATCTGAAATTCTGGAAACACATAATATAAGGCAGTGGTGATACCAGTTAGTTTATAAACTTAATTGTAATGTCCCTTCTTTTTTAAAAAATTTATTTGAGAGAGAGAGATAAAGAGAAAGAGAGAAAGTAGGGAGAGAGGTAGCAGGGGAAGGAGAGAGAGAATCTTCAGCAGACTCCCTGCTGAGTGAGGAGCTTGATGTGGGGCTTGATCCCACAATCCTGAGATCCTGAGATCATGACGTGAGCCGAAATCAAATGTTGGATGCTTAACCTACTGGGCCACCCAAGTGCCCCAATTGTAGTGTCTTTTCAATGCATGAACTATTAAGTGACTGGATGTATGTGCTTAGCACAGTGCTGGGGCCTGTGAAAAACCACCACCACCACCACAAAACAATGGATGAATAACCCTACACAATAAACCACAGACTTTCACAAAATGAAAATGGAAATGTACCAGAAGGAAATCTAAAATCATCAGGTCCACATTCCTGGCTTGTCCAAGGGCATTCGGACCATTCCATTAAGTATGTATTGAGCACCTACAGCAGACCTGGTCTTTCTAAATGACCTCCAGCTTCCGAAGCTCTGCAGAGACAGATATCCCACAACACCACTAATTTAAACTGAGAAAGCATCTATCTAACTTACTGAATCATTTCCATTAGTTGCTAGGGCTCTTGATGAAATGTTACAGTTTGGGGCAAGAGCATCCTTCTTTCTCTATTCTATTTCCATGGCTTCATTTTGTCTCTTTGTCTTAACTTACTACTAAATTCTTTTAATCTCTTCTTAAAAAAATTTCTTACCTAGGAGGTACAGATTTAAGCCTTGCCATTTTTTTTTTCTTTGAAGGAGAAAAACAAAGAAACAAAACACCAAAAACAAACAAAAAAACCCCTGCATCTAAGCCACACAAGAAAAAAAAAAAAAAGGCCCAGGCCATCAAAAGTTTAATGGCGTTTTCAGTACTGATATCACTGGTGTGGAACCGAAGCAATAAAACCAGATTGCATTTCCTCCCCACCCCCCAAACTTCACCAAATGGTATTAAAACAAAAGCTCCCAATCTCCTCCAAACTTGTGATCCTGGGACTTAACTCAATTTATGCACCATGGTTTAAAAGCTTGCAGCAAAGAGTATGTTGTTTTTACATTTGTAAGCTCATCGTGTGATGAGGAACCTATGCAGAGTGACAGACGTGCAGAAATTATCTCCTTCTTCCTACCAGGAAACACCCAGAGAAAACACCTGCTGTCCCAGAGAGCCGTGTGGTTGTGAGGAAGAAGACAACAGTGAGGTACTTACAGAGACTGTGGAGCTGGGCGTATTTGTCCCATAGCCAGAGGAGGGGAGAGAAGCCAAGGACCAGCGGCGTCCATCAGTCCTACTGAGAGAGGGAGATTAGCTTTGGCCAAAGCTGGAGCACGGTTACACAGGAACCCCAGGGAAACCGAGTATTTTTAGCCAAACAAATGACACAAATACGGTCAGTGAAGATGTGGAAATGTTCAGCAAGGGCCAGAGTAAACAAACATTATACAGCAGGTTGACTTTTATTTAAACTGAATCGATACACCCAAACAAGTAGAAAGTGAATGGGCTGATCCATATTATTGATCTCTCACTAACACACTTTGACAAAATGAATACCAGGGATAATTACAATGGTCAGACTCAGCAGATTCAAATGAATAAAAACAGAGAGGGAGGAGGGCAAACACTCGTGTCTGGGAGCTGATAACTGAGGCCATGGGTCTTTGGAAGGGCCTGAATGGCAGCAAGGTACAAGAGCCAGTGGGGACTTCGATTATATCCTAAAGACTCTCCACTTGTTTTCAAGGGAACTGTCCTCCTCATCACACCTAGGGAGGGGATTAGTGGGGCTCAGGGCTGGTTCAAGTCTTAAGTAGCAAAAAACTTCCACACTAAAAAAGTGACTGACACTATATTCAGAATCTCTAAGCGTTACTGTCTTCTGACATGACCTGGCTTCGTCAAGTGTTGCAACAAGAGCGAAGGTTGTGAGTACATGCAGCCCAGCTCTGGCCTGGGGCAGCATGTGCAGAAAGAAAATTCTCCACTAGTGACAGAACCTAATGCGGAGTACAAGTGTCTGCCCCAGTCATAGAGGCAAAACTGTCAGGAGACCTTAAAGAGAGTGATTTTTCTCTCCACATGGTCCAAGGGTAACTTCCGGGGTGGATTCTGGTTATGAAGTTAGGGTCTTTACAAGGGTCTCAGATGACTGAATGAAGTAGTACAGACAATACTGTTGCAGGGGAACATAAGAAAGCAAACTTTCTGAAATCTCTGGCATCCCAGAGTCATTAATTTATTATTTACTCTATTTTAAGTAAGACTGTGACTTCAAAATCATATACCCCTGTGAAAACAAATAGATGCGCATCTGCCATGGGGAAAAACAGGAAAAACATACATTATAAAGGCCTATACTTGCATTCTTTAGATGGAGTATCCTATGTACACTTCTTGTAATTTATGACTGTACTAATTTACCAAGTGAGAGGTAAGGGGGGCCAAATTTACCACAGACACGTTCACAGGAAGTTGAAGCCAGGGGATTCGACAGCACTAGACTTGAATTTGAGAAATGTCACAATTAGATGTAAAAAAAACTGACATTTGAGACTAAATTACAGTCAAGGGAAAATATAATCACAGGCTACCATGGATGTTGCCTCCAATAAATGCAAATGGTCCACAAAGACAAAATGCAGAAATTCAAGTGGACAAATCACAGAAATACTAAAATGTTAAAATCTGAGTAAAATTTACCTGTCATTTCTGTGACCATGATTGGAGTACAATTGAATCAAGTTTGTTTTTTAAAAAAGAAGCAAGATAAAATATTTGTAAATATACCAGATACAAGGAATGGGAACAATTAAGTCATACGTTCTTTAAAAATATTTTTAAACAATTAAAAATGGTAAAGATTTAAGAAGAAAATCATTATAAGAACATGCTTCTAAAGATATCTATCAATTAAATGGACACAGGTTAGTTGTATTTTATTTGATTACTTATTGAAGATTTAAAAACCCATGCTGTACTTTATATTTTAAACACCTCCAATTTTTAGAAGTTAAAAAAAAAAAAGGTGGGGGGGTATGATTTTTAAAAGGATTCTACAGTCCATTTAATAGCAATTATCAGAAACTAGTCTCAGGAAAGAATGCGGGCACGATTTCTCCCACCATGATTTTGTTTTGTGATTCATTAACTCTCCTTTCCCTCTGGTATCAATAAATATATTTCACATGAATGAACAATTCCAAGACATGTTCTTATTAGCTTTGAAACATAAATTACATTTGCTTATTCTGGAAAACACACAACTAAAAGATGTTTAAACAAGAATGTGCAGCCATGGACCAGAAATAATTTATGTCTCATGAAGTTCCCCAAGTTCTCCGTGTCTATTTACTCAAATGGGGCACAAAGGACTATTGCATTTTCATTATGACCGCACATCAGAAGTTACTATACATGCTGCATAGTACTTAAGAGGCAGCACGCCCTTTCCTTTTTTTCAAGAAAGCTATCACACAAGTGCCATTTGGATCCTGCTAACGATGTTGTCTTTTCTTTGCAGAAGCTACCAATAAGATGTTATCGGAAGACAGACTAAATTCTAGTCAAAGCAATAGGCTTTTTTGAAGAGTTTTTGTTTTTTTTTTTTGGTGGGTGGAAATCTCTTAGTGTTAAACTAAGTGAAAAAGTAAGAGGGGAAAAACATCTGATGGGAACACAATACAAAAAGTTTTGCAAAAAAACATTTCAACACTACTCACAAAAATTTAGATTAATACAGTATACAACAATATCAACCTGGCTATTGTAATTGTATGAAGACGATTTATTTATTTGTTTAGTTGTAACAGTCACGTGGACTAACAAGTTTTACATTCTGTTTGATACTAGAACAAGTTGAACTATGCCAGGTGCTCAACAAGTGTCCAATAACCTGAACTCAGCAAGTGAGTCTGTTCTAGTAATTTGCTTGCGGAAATATATTCTGAGATTTACCCTGGTAAGGGACAATGAGGCCACTAGGAAACACCCATGGCACGTAGTCAGGGCTCCGTATTTCCAACCTAAGTGAAAGCACTATGCAATGCGTCAACTCCAACAACTTTCAGGAAAGGCAGAACAATGTTATTACCTCCATCTTAAGTCAAAGAAAAAAATGTTAATTCTGTAATCGGATAGATTGTAAATCTGTATCACAGTTCTTAGGAAAGTAAAAATATGTTTCCTTGCTCCTGACAAAATTTACTCTGCTACAATGCTCATTTTCCTCCTTTTAACTTAGTAGTAAAAAAATTAGCTTGATAATTTTACTCTTACATATGTATTAGATAGGAAGTGAGTGCCATCGTATTTTCCAGTCTGAAATTAAACTATTCCATTACAGGGGATGTCTAGTGGGGGAGTATTATCACATATTGGTATAAGTAAGATGAGTAAACATTAATAAGCCTGATCTTTATCCTTTCACTCAAGAATAATTTTAAAAACAGGGCAAGCTCTTTGTTGGACTAAATATACAAAGTAACACGTGAGAGTCTCAAAATGATATCACTTCTTAAAAGCTCAAAAATGCATACTGAATGGAAGGGAATGGAGACCCATGAGTGGTGTTTCCATGTTTTCCTGAATAAAAATCAACTTTAAAATGGAGGAGAGAGACACCAGATGTTAAATAAAAATACACCAATTTGAGTTTTTATAGCAAAAGCAGGGTTCTGTTTACTTGAATAAAAGTTTAAAAAGATGATCACTCATGCCCCAATCTAAATTAATATTTTTTGAAGAGTGTGGAGGGAGTTCCATCTGGAAATTCATGCAAAATGAACTACAGGTCTCCTGTGATAATCTTCTGTCATGGTTTATGGTTTATTCGTCAAAAATTAACATGCCTGGGGGTTGTGTATTTTTTTTAAATTGCAGAGAAACCAGATTCATCTATCCTCCAGTCACCCACTTAATTATCAGATTCTCTTCATTTTTATAAATCTGGCAGGATTAAGAGACTACGATTTCTGTCATGTTTAAATGCACGCTATAATGAGATTTGCATTTTTCTTATTACTTCAAGTAATTAAACACATTCTTTTAAGAGATGTGTTTTAAAGACTATGGTAGGTTCTTGTTTATCCATTTTTATAAGATTTTTGTTTCCACTTAGAGTAGCACTATCATGAATTAATATTAATTGGGCCAACATAGGCTTTGTGGGACCAGTTAATTTTCACATTTTCTTGATAGTGCTTAGAACAAGTTGCTAAAAGAAAAGAAGCTGGAACTGGGTAAAGAGTCAGGGTGGGGGTCTCAAGTTCCCTTGAGAGCCTGTCTTATGGCTCTGGTGTCCTGGCCATGATAGAGAACAGGGACCTTCCACACACAGGCATCTCCATATGGTGGGGGATGTGTAACATTTAGAAGGGAATCTTAATTACAGAGAATTTTGAAAATACTGCCAACAGGTCCCTTTCTTTGGATGTAGTAATGTAAATGCATTGCATACCAACAAACGGCAGTGGGGATACTGTGGGTTTTGCTGCTTTGAAACATGTGTTAAAACAAATCTATTTTTTAAAAATCTACACATGAATCTTTATTAAGTGCTATGTTAATCCACTTCATGGTATTGTTAGGTCTCTGAGGAAAATAAGTATGCTGGACATGTAGACCACAAACTGAATGTATCCTGAATATTCAGAGACCTGGCTGAAGGGGCATTTTGTTTTCTGTGTGTTCTTCCCGAGCAGGAGAGGACAGGGTACGTGTGTAAGAGGGGTGATGGAGCCCAGGAAGCTTGGAATCGGACGGGGTGAAGTACACTAATTCCACATATGGAACACAGAAGATGTGGCTGTGTAGACTGACTCCTTTGACTTGGAGAAGTCACAGAAGAACATCCAGAACTGACGAGATTTGATGTTACATCACATGCCTATGATCCTCCGAATTCACAACAAGACTTCCTTGTTGCTCCATGACCCAGATAGAACACATGTATCTTCGACACTTGGCACCAAATTCTAACTAAGATATGAAGAGAAAACATAAAATATCCTATAGTCCATGCATGGCTTTATCTCGAGGGGATCACTAAAGTGGTGGCTTCATGCTCTCAAGTAAAGAGGCATCCTAGAGTATTTATACCCTGTCATCCCAAGAAAGGTTATTAAAAAAAAATGTATTTCAACAACAAAAGCAGATGCCAGGACACAGAGATGAGTCAAGTCCTTATAATGTAAGCTCAGACAGTTCTATAAAAATCTGCTGAACATCAAGCATGTACAAGGCACTGCACTAGAGTTAAGAGAGATAAAGGAACAATCTTTCTCGCCCTCACTGGGAGCCCACCATCTAGGGAAGGACCAAGAGAGGTACACTGAACTCTAACATGAGTCAGAAGTCATTATTAAACTGTTAAAGCAGGGGTGCCTGGGTGGCTCAGTTGGTTAAGCAACTGCCTTCGGCTCAGGTCATGATCCTGGAGTCCCAGGATCGAGTCCCGCATCGGGCTCCCTGCTGAGCAGGGAGTCTGCTTCTCCCTCTGACCCTCCCCCCTCTCATGTACTCTCTCTATCTCATTCTCTCTCTCAAATAAATAAATAAATAAAATTTTAAAAAAATAAATAAATAAACTGTTAAAGCGGGAGTGTTTACAACAGTTGTGCATTGGTCTAAAGCTATCTTTGGGCAGGGAGCTTTAGAGAAGGCCATATATGATAATGCACAGGATCTCACAGGCAGAAGGCAGGGGAACGGAGGGTAAGGACGAAGAGGGGGTTCAGGAGATGCGATCTCGACCTAACACTTTACTATTTGACCCACAGGAAGTCCTTACCTCCGTGCAAATGAGAAATGGGCTGAGGCACTGGGGGAGAAATTTCTTGGACTATCTTGAGGGCTATTTCCTGTAAAGAGAAAGAGGGGGGAAAAAATCATAACATGATTTTGTTTTTGTAACATTATCCACAACCAGGATCATCTTCTTTCTAGTAATGCGTTTCTGTACATTCTCACACAACGTCCATCTCTTCAAAAATGTTTCAGTGTTCCTTGGAGCAGGGGCAGGGATGCAGTGCGGGGAGCAAGGGAATGGGGTTGAGTCCCACTCGGCACAGCGTTCTGAGGGTGCAAGCTATATGAATAAGCACATCCATCTATCACCAAGCAGCAGTCTCCCAGGGATTAATAACCTAAATATTTCAGTCCTAGAGAATAATGTATATACAAATGCCTTGCTTCTCAGTCTTCCAGATGTTAACATCTTAAGCAACAGGATGGGCATGGAAGTCTATGCTTCACCTGGTGGTGGGGGTGGGGCTTTCTACTTTCAGGAAGCAGCCTTAGTAGTCTTTGTTTACGGAAACCGAGTACATGTCAGAGTTCTCAAAAATAAATCCTCGTATTCCGGGGTCCGTGTTTTAAAAGTGGAAATGTCAGTACTAGTCATAAAATACTGGGAAGAACCCAGCCGTTGGACCTATTTCTCCAATGACCCAGATCTACGGCCTGGGTGGCCCAGCAGGATTAAGCCCTATCACTAGTTTCTTCAACAGCCCCCCTGCTTCTGAGCCTCTGGGCTATGCCTGGCCAGGCAGGCTTTCAAAGCCACCGCCCCACAAAGGCTTTTTCCTCAGAGGGTGTTTCCCTCACATCCCGCCAATGCGGGCGAGCTGAGACCGCTGGCTGTAAGGAGAGCAGCTCCTTGGGGGCTTGTTACTTCCTCCATCAGAACACCCAACCTGTCGCTGATCACTGAGAGCGCGTGGCAGGCAGCTGGTGAGGGGCAGCTCAGGACACCCCAGACCACCCGGCTTCCCTCCGCATGCTTAATTAGATTGGCAGAATCATCTGAGGACTGGAGGGAACTGTAGCTGGTTTAAAGAAGGTGAGGAAAGGCTGCAAACTCGTCTTGTACGTTCTTGAAACGTGGAAAATAAATCAGGAAGATACGTTTAATCCCTCCCAGCCAGCCAGTTCCCACATTACTGATTTCAGAACGGCAGTGACAACTGTGGGTAGGTGTGAGGAATATAAGATTGCACATGCAAGTCAGTACCTAGCTGCCAACAATGTATTACCTGTGTGCAAAAAAAGAGACTAACCCATTAAAGGGGATAAGGTTAGTGTTAACCTTGAGGACTTCTGGACTGGTTACATCTCTACTGAAAGTTTCAATTAACGTAAGGTTGCAAATTTTATAGTGATGTCTTCAACAGATGCCATTAACTTTATGACAGACAGTGCAATTAAAGTCATTTGACTAGAAAGCACTGAAAAGCCTATTTCTTTATGGACAGAGAATCTAGAAGCATTTTTCCCTCTGCTGCAATGAAATTTATCATGTCTCTGCATCTGTTGTTCCTTGGGCCCCTGGAGAAATGGATTCTGCTTTTGCCGTCTAGTAATCCAGGACTCTTTTTGTCCATTTATCTACAGAGCTAAATTAAGTTCCTCAACTTTTCCCAACAGCCTTCATTCCCCCCCGCCCTGCCTCTTCCCAACTTAGCTTATATATCACTGTTCATAGCCTTAAAAGATCTTGAAAAATTCAAGATAGCTAAAGATTTTTGTTTCTGAAAGGGAAACGAATCCAATGCCAGAAATTTTAGTGTAGATTTTGTTTATTTGGAAAAAAAACGTTCACTTTGCCCACATTCCATATAGAGCAAACTACCAGTAAGTTATTCGGAAAAACAGAACAACTGATTGCTGGAAGCCAAGGTATGATCAGTTTAACAATCCCTGCTACCTAATTCATTGAGAATAAATAATAAGATCCACGAAACTTGGCACCAAATTCTTAGCTCCATGTTCTTTGTAAGATGAACACTATATCTGGAGATTATAATGAGATCAACTAGAACTAGAGAGAGCTTACTAAGTATTCTTAAGACTAAAGAAGGGAGAAACGAGGAGTTAACTTAAACCCTTTTCACTTTTAGAGATTGTAATGATTGGTCCCCAGGAACTCATGTAACATCTTATAATACATGGCAACTGATCACTTTGAGGATGAACGGGCCGAGACAAAGATATACAGAGGTAGGTTAATTTAACTCTGCTCTTAATGGAAAAAAAAAAATCAAGGCTACCATTAACCATTTCTAATCTTTGGGTTTTGCCTCTCCATTTTATGCTGGCTTTCTAAGCCCATCAACTGAAAATGTTCCTCATTTTCTTCTCATCTACTCCTACATTGCTATTAAATCAAACACAAATTTCTACATTTTTAACTTCCAGACTACAGAGCCATCTGCATAATCTTGCTACTAAGAGCTCTTTCTTCCTGTTTCATGGCAGATCTAGAGCTAGGTTTAAATGCCAATGTGTGTACACATGCACACACCTCCCTCCCCCCCCACTATCACAAAGGCTCTTAAATGTAGTGGGATATTAGAGAAAATGATGGTGGCCTGAACTAGAATACCCAATAATTCATTAAAGACAAGAGATTACAGTTTAATCTGAGGACAGTTCAGCAAGCTCAAGAGAAGAAATGGAAGAACCTCAGGAAGGGGACAGAAATAACGCAAACACAGTAGGGTGATACACTTGAGACAGATATTCTGGCAGTAGGGGATTCAGAATGGTATATTCAATGAGCTGTGAACTATGTTTATTGGTACTAACCAGAGGAGGGCCTTAAGAGACATCAGCAGGCAAGAGAGCAATGATAGAGATTTTAACCTGGCACATATGTGTTGGGTGGACAGATGAGTGGCCAAAGAAGGGAGGTTTAGGAGCTTCGATTAGGACTTGAGAGGCCAAGAGAAAGAATATTTTGGTGAACAAACCAAGCATAATTAGTGATGCACTAGAAATGAAGTGATGAAAATATGACAGATTACAAGTGACCAATATTTCCAGTGTGGGTCGATTGTGGGTGACTGACTACCCATTGTGGGAGAATGACTGATTGCCTGTTGATAGGGAATTCTGGGAGAGAAGTGGAATGGTTGTGATAGATGAAAAGGGTGGATGAGTATTCTGCAGATTTTTGTGCTATCACAGAATATGCCTCCATTTTCCTTAGGGAGAAGTAACAAGATTAGGAGATTAGATAGGTGGGAGTTAATCTTTGTTTCTGTTTTTGTTGTGTTTTGTTTTTAGAGAAGTGGGGCAGACGGCGAGAGAGAATCTTAAGCAGGCTCCACGCCCAGTGCCAGCCTGACTCAGGGCTTGATCCCAGGACCCTTGAGATCATGACCTGAGCTGAAATCAGGAGTCGTACGCTTAACAGCCTGAGACACCCAGGAGCCCCTGGGAGTCAATCTTTGAAGTCTGTGTTCTTATTTGAAATAAAAGTCGATTGCTATGTTACCTACTCCGTCTCTGAAGCCTTAGGGACACTCTTCGGTTATATAGTGATGAAAATACCACTCATTTAGAACAGACTAAATCAAAAAGCTCATCTTATATACGTATTCTTAAGAAATGACAGGCTGCTGTGGACATGCCCAGTGAGTCTCCAGGATGAGGAAGCAAGACGGATTGAAACCAGAGTCCTATACATGACCTTCACTCCTCACAGCACTGCTCTCTGAATTCATCTACCCATCTGCAAAGCAATACCTGAGAGACTCTCAAATGAAAACTGGTGCCAGTTAATTCTCTGCCCATATGTGCAGCACTTGCCTATAACTCAAATCCTGCCGCTCCCAGGGATTTGCTAGCTCTTGGATGTTGGAGAGCTAGGACACTTCCTAGAACGCCGTTATCGCCGCTGATGTTTTTGACCTGGTAAAGTAAACTTTAGTAGTGGTCAGGCATTTGGTAGGTAATTAACTCTAGGGTCCCGGGCGGTGGGGTCCGGGTGGGGGGCACTAGCACAGCCAATATACAAGCAATATAACAAAATGGGGCTTTACCTCATGGCTCTGTACAGGGTGCCTCATTTTCGAGGCAGTTACGGTTAAGAAAGTGATTTCCAGATTAATTAAATTGTTTGATTGCTTTGTAATTAGGTTAGAGAAGTCCTGTGTCTTTACCACAGAGAAACAAGTGGCAAATCTTTTTAAAAGGCATATGTTATACCCACTACAGATTATTAATGTGCTTTTAATAGCTGTCTGTTCACAAAATGATAGTTTCTGGTTGCCTTGATTTTCTATCAGGACTGAGGGAATCCAAGAAATAATGATAATTGCCATTTGAAACTCCTGGTGGATCAAAGAGTAAGTCCCCACTTGAATCCTTGTTGTCATTACTTGACGATCAGCTTAAATGACTTGTGGCGTTTTATGCTGTAACAATCAGTACCGTGCTTCCTATTGCTTTATAAGAGATTGTGAGCAACATATTGCCATTGCTTTAGACTTTAAGACCAAACCTGCAAGAATCAAACCCAGCATCTCCTTCCAAGATGAGTTCTAGCAGATAAGACGGACGTGAGAACAGTTATGCAGGAACCTCAGGCTGAGTGAACTTGCAAAGACCGTAGTCCCCAACGCCTGAGACCTTTGACTCTATCCTACCAGACCCAGCTAATACAAGCAAAGTTAAAAATCTTCCTTTCACTTAGACAGCTGTCTCAGCAACTGGCTCCTCTCCAGATACAATTGTGGAATATTAATTAAAGCTGGGCAGCTGTTTAGACTCTAAGTGGACAAGGAGAAACCTTGATTGGCCTTCTGTGGAACTGTCTCTGTCTATGCATTCTATAAAGAATAGAAGTAGACTCACCTGCCTGGGTTTTCAAGTAAATAGAAGATTACAGACAATGAACCAAAGTTTTCATAAAATGTAGGCTCTCTGAACCTGTTTTGCTTTCCCTGTCCCTCATTGCTTACTGATCCTTCAGCAGCCAGGACCACTACTATCATCTGATCCATTCTTTCAACAAATACTTATCAATCCCCTACCATGCAGAGGACAATAATAAGATTTGATTTACATTTTAGAAAGA